GCCGTCCGCCCCCTGCTTGCTCCACCCCAGACCTGCTGCCTCGGCCCGCTTCCGTGTGGACCTTTCGGTGAGCTGCCCATGCAGCTCCGCCTCAGGCTCTGGAGCGGGTGCCCCCCTCGCAGCCCAGGGCTGGGCGCTGCACTCGGGGGCGGGACTGGTGCCGCTGCCAGGCAGTCCCCCAGATCTGCGCGCTCACGCAGGGCCTGCTGTCCCGCTGCCCTGAAACCAGTGCTGATGGGGTCACGCCAACAGAGAGGCGCGGAGCCCAGCGCCGCCGGAGCTGGGTGTGCGTTGTCTCCCTGTCCGCGCAGCTTCGCGGGGGAGCCGCCGCCGTCGCCGCTGTGCTCGCCCCAGGCCCTGCCAGCCGGGACGCGGGGAGGACAGGGCCGTGCTGTGGGCCGGGACGCTGAGCTGCCTTCTCAGAGGAGGGCTCGCTCCCTCCAGCCTGAGCGCAGCGGCTTCTGACCCAGAAGCCGACGGCCGAGCGTGAGGCGCCAGCTTCGACAGGCCGCCCGCGCTCGGGAGCCACATGCTGGTTCCCTGGGCCTTCCGTTCAGCCGTTCTGCAAATGTCGGCTGAGGATGTCATGCGCCAGGTCCCGCTCTCGGCTCTGGGTGGCGGCAGCATGTCCAGAGCCCTTCCACCCTCACGGGCAGAAAGGCCATTGTCCCGCTTAATTTACCTTAAAACTGGGGGCGGGGCATGGGCGGGCGTTTGTAACAAACAAATGGGAGCAGCTGTTTCCTGAGCCCTCGCTGTGCCCAGGGTCTGTGCTAAGCTGGTACACGGTGACTCTTGCCACTCTTCTGGCCCCCTATGGGGTCGTGGGCCGTGGGGAGCTGAGGCTCGGGGAGGCTGCACAGCCTGCCCAGGGTCACACAGCTGGGAGGGCTGCGCCTGGCTGATTCTGCCCCGCAGCGCTGTGCTGCGTGTGACATCAGAGGATCTCTTCACGCCCCGCGAGTCCACGTGTGGAATTTTGGGGGAATGAGAAGCTCATTGTGGTTGGGGACACATCAGGACAGGTCTTAAGAGGGAGGGGGCATGAGCTTTATGAGTCTGGCATCCAAAGGCACATCACTGTGCACGTAGGAGCAAGGCGAAATGGGGGGACGTCTGCAGCATGGGAGGGGGGACTGGTCGGTCGGCAAGGACACTGGGCACCTGGGAGGGAGAGGAGGAGCACACGGCTGTTTAATGCCAGGGAAACCCAGGAAAATTACCCCAGAAGGTGAGGAACAATGAACACAACCTGCTTGTTTGGGAAACCGTGGCTTCTGTGGTCTTTGAACAAATTCACAGAAAGAGGCGGGATTTCTAACAAGGCTACAGCTGTCCTCCTCAGCACAGGCGGCGGGCTGCCCGGGCCTCTTTGCAGATCAGAGAGATAGGGTTCAGCTGAGGCCGCAGGGGAAGCTGATGGCGACCTCTGTGAAACCGGGGAGGCGTGACGTTCAGGCGCACTGCTGAGAAGGCCGCACCGCCCTACGCGCCGCCCCCTGCCCCCACCCTGCGCAGACCAGCATCTCGCAAGGACACTCCCGGGCACGACGGCCGCCTCAGCGCGCCCAGGGCCCTCTGCTCCGAGGAGGCGCCCCCGCCCAGTTCCCGTGGCTGTGGCCCCCAGGAAATGGTCTGACACTAGGAAATCCAAAGCAAATCAGCTTGTTCAGGAAGCACTTCACAGATAGACCCAGGCTCAGATCTACTTCTTAAGGGTTTTGCAATCTGCAGTCTTTAATAAAGAAGAGTCTGTTTTCCTGGATCGTAAACGCATTGAATGAGTGCACTGGAAGCCTTCCCCTTCCTTCTCTGTGATCCTCCGTCTCCTGGGAGGGTTTTTCTGCCTCCAGCAGGCCCCTCCCCCGCCCGGCGTGGTGCCCAGCTGCAGGGACGGCTGCAGGGACGCGCCGCGGTTTGTCATCCTGTAATAAACTCACTAAGGGGCCATCATCGCCAGCTCCGCGTCAACTCCTGCTCCCCCGCTTGCCGTGGAGCACGTCTCTCCCTTCCCTTCAGAATTTAAGAACACATCTTTCTGCGTGTGCGTCAGGAGGGAAGATGAGCAGCACACGCTCTGTGGGAGCTAACAAATGCAGGAGGAGTACGTGGCGGGCGCGCCGGGATGCGGCGCCGCGCACGCGGCCGTCTGACGGAGACTCGCTGCGGAGCTGGGAGCTCGTTAGACGGCAAGCCGCCTGGGTGGGGTTTTTTAAATCTGTTATTTTGAGTTAGAATCACGGAATTTTGTCATCATTGCGCCTCTCAGATGCCATGTTGGCCACCAAACGGTTTTGATAACCTGAGCGGGCGCCTTGCTGGAGAAATCAACGCGTGCTCCGCTGCAGTCGGCGCCACGGAGGCCGTGCGGTCCAGTCCGCCGCAGGCCCGCCAGCCCGTTTGGCGAGTCGGCCTGCGTGCTTTTAGAAAGGACAGGGACGACTTAGTTCCCCCCGTGACGCGAATGTTCTCTGGCTCTGTTGCCGAGCGTGTGTCCACGCGTGGGTGTGTGTACGAGTCACAACGCAAAGAGCTTCCCCACCAGAGGCTCTGCTCAGGCGCCTGACCCCCTCCCGCCCCCGTGCCGGTCCATTAGCTGTCACTGTGCCGCTGACTCAGGTCGTCCTCGCCCAAGCGTAGTCCCGCATCCCTGGTCTGCCCTCAGCCTGGTGCCGTGCTCCGGGCCGCTGCCGCCTGCCGCGCCTCTGGAGATGTGGCCGATGCATCCGCCTCTGCTTCCGCCTCTCTCCTTGTTGAAAAACAAATCGACAGTTTGCTGTCGCTCTACTTTCAGTTGGAAGCCCATGCCCCTTCTGACCCCTTGCCATGCCCTTCGGCGCTGCAGAAGGACAGGCTTTAGCTGCGACTCACCCCTTCCTGGTGGGATGACTTGAGCCGTTTATCACCCAGAAATGTCACCCTCAGGCTCTGGCGGTGCCCAGGCCACAGAGTCCCCTCCAGGGGCCGGCAGTGAGGTCGGACGGCCGCCGCCCGGCTAGCATCTCCATCCCCGTACCTAGCGGGGCCTGTGTCCAGGGCGGCGTCTCTGTGTCTGTGTGTGCATCTCCCGGTCGTCCCTCTCCTCCAGCAGGACGTCACTGACTTCTGTTCCGTTTGGGAACCCAGGCTGGAAATTGTTGACTTTCATTGAAGTATCTAGTCTTTCTATATTTAGTGTAATAATTGCTGTATTTGTGCTTCCATCGCTCATCCTCGGCTTCCTTAGGATTTTCCCCAATTTTCTTTCCTCCCTTCCTAGTCCCTCCTCCCTCGCCCCCTTTGGGTTGATTGAGCAACAGTGGGTGCCTTCCTCCCCTGCGGTGGCCCATAAACCGCATGCCTCTGGCCCTTGCATGGCCACCTGGGAGCCGGGGGGCTGCCGGCTCTGCCAGCCACAGGACGCCTCTGTCGCACACTCTGCTTTATTTTTTGTCACTGCCCTTTAAGGGGATAAAGACGATGACCGTGTGGGCCGTGCAGACCGTGGGTTGCTACCGGGATGCAGCCGTCAAGCAGCTGGTTCAGTGCCTCCGGCTCGTTGGAGTCTGATATAAATGTGTCGTTCTCCCCGTCCCAGGCGGCCTGAGGACTAAGCATGAGGGTCTCGTCGCTCACAGTCGGGACCCCAGATCCCCCCCGAGCAGTTGCCTTGATGCTTTGCAGTTTTAACTGTTCATATCTTGCAAATATTTTGTTAAATTAATTTCAGTTTTTAAATCGTTCAGTGATGGCAAGTAGAATGGCAGTTGTTTTTCAAATAAAAACCCTGTTTCCTACAACCTTGCTGCACTCCCATATTCTAAAAGCTGTTTCACAGATTCCTTAAGATCTTTTTTGCACGTAATACTTCATCCCCAGTTTTACTCCTTCCTTTCCAGCCTTTAGGTCTTTCATTCCTGTTTCTTGCCCGGGGGGGGCCCCCTGTGTGGAACCCCATGGGAGTGTTGGCCGCACCTGACATGGCGGCGGGGGGGGGGGCCTGAAAGCTGCCCCACGTGGAGCCCATCAGACGGCTTTTTAAACAGCGTGACCAGCGATGCCGCTGTCCGCGCCGCTCCGCGGGGCGCCTGCCGCTCTTCCTGGGCTGGGGGAGCTGTGTTCTGGGATTGGGAAGTCTTTCTCTCGAGACTTCTGAGGTTCTTTGCGCCGTAATGCTGGGCTGCTTTTCTCCCAGTGGCCTTCTGCTTCCTCATTTCTTCTGTTTCTTGCCCTGGCACAAAGCACCGTGGGCAAGTGAGGAGGGCTTCCTGCAGGAAGCAGCGAGTGGTGGAGGATGTCGCCCCCGCCCTGGTTCCCGAGGCCCCTGCAGACTCAGGGCCCTGGTGAGCGGCCAGGCCGCAGCCATCAGCCTGAGAGACCTGGTGCACAGCAGGGTTCCGCCGGTCTCGGAACCAGTTCCAGGGGCACTTGCCTTTGGGGAGGGAGAAAGGGTTTCCTGGGGGGTGCGAGTGGAGGCCGCGACCTGCGGGCAGCCGGCAGGGCCACCCCACACCTGCACCGCCCACCCTGGGGCCCGTCTCTGCCCCGTCGCGCCTACCGCAGAGGCCACCGCGGCGCCGGAACAGGGCTGCACCCTGTTGTAGGTGCCCAGAAATGTTTGCTGAGCACGTGGCCGCTGAGTTGGCCTTAGAGGACAAGCTGCCTTCCTTGGCTCTGCCGTTTGGAAGGCAGGCGCACAGGCAGGAGCCTCCGGCTGGGCTGGGACGTGGGACGGAATGTGGCGCCGACAGCTGCCGTGGGCGGCCCGTGGCCCGCGGCTCGGCTCGGCTCGCAGACGTGGAAACAACGGGGACAGCGTGGGGCCACCGGGCCTGGGCCGTGCGTCTTGGGACGTGGAAGGGGGAGAGAGTGGAGGGGGGCGGGCTCTGAGACGGCAACGTCGACGTCTGGGTCTCGAGACCCAGCAATGCAAGGGCTCCTCGCCGTGTGGCCGAGCGCCTGCCCTGGTCTGAGGCCACGGCTTTCCGCAGCCACTAACAGAAACGCACCATGTCCCCTAGGATTCCCGGCCGGCTGAACGACAGGAGGACTCCCCTGGGAGAGCTGAACTGGATCTTCACGGCGATCACAGACACCATCGCGTGGAACGTGCTCCCTCGGGGTGAGGCTGCCGGGGGCAGGGCCTGGGGGTGCGGGGTATGGTCTGCCGAGAGCCAGGAGCCGCGGGCCTCAGACATCAGGGAGGGCGATGGGAGGCAGGGGCCCCCAGCCGTGAGAGAAGCTGACGATGGCAGTGGGGGGAGGGGAGCGGAGGGCAGGGCTGGAGGCGGCTGTGGGGGCCAGAGGGGCAGCTGGTGAGAGCGGCGTGTGCAGGGAGCCCACGGAGCCCGGCTTAGGCCTTGGCGAGTTACCTCCCAGCAGAGCCAGGGCTCCCCCTCCGCGGCATCGGCCCCGGAGGCACGGGGGCGGCTGGGAGACCGTGCTTTGGGGGGCCGGCCGGCCCTCGCTCCTCTGTGTCTGTGCAGGGACGCGTGTGCGCTGCTGATGGGAGCCCCTCACGCGGCACCGCCAGCGGATGACATGTGTGAAGGGAGGGTGTTGCGTGTTCATCTTCAAGTGCAGGGGCACGAGTCACGGGACACGCGTGTCTCTGTTTCCTCCGCCTGCAGATCTCTTCCAGAAGCTCTTCAGACAGGACCTGCTGGTGGCGAGTCTGTTCCGGAATTTCCTGCTCGCGGAAAGGATCATGAGGTCGTACAACTGCACCCCGGTCAGCAGCCCGCGCCTGCCCCCGACCTACATGCATGCGATGTGGTGAGTGCCCCTCACTGGCCGGCGGCGCTGGGTGTGGCTGCGTCGTCCGAGCAGCGCAGGCCCTCCCGTTTCTGGGCGGGCGCCAGGTTGGTGGAACTACCAGAGCAGCGGGCTGGCCCCTGCGGCTGGGCCCGGGGCGGCGCCAGCAGGGAGGTGGGCCTGCCCCTCGGCCCACCCCCGCCCGTGGGGGCGCCCGTGCCTGCACAGGTGCAGGCGCCCGGCACGTCTCGGGCGCGGGCTGAGGGCCTGTGGAGCTCGCCTCACGCAGCGACGCCACCCCAGCGGCACAGGCGCTTGCTCTCGTGGGGCTCGTTGTCTCGGAACCGTCCCCTCGTGCTGCCCCAGCAGCATCACGGGCAGCTCCGAGCGGGACCTGACTCGCTGAGCGAAGAGCCCCCGCCCTCAGGGCCCCTCGGCCGACAGGCAGGTCACGCAGAAGGACACGTTGCACTTCCTGGGCGGCACGGCGCGCGCGTGGAAACGTGACGGGGAGCTCAGGCTCAGGTCCCCGTGGGAAGGCCTCTGAGAGCGTGAGATCACCTGCACCCCTTCCTGAAACTTTCCTGACGTTCAGGGCCGCCGTGACACTTGGTAAATGCCGGCCCAGCCACGCCCCGTGGGGGGCTCTGACATGAGTGAGCGTGGAGAGACGCACGCGTGGCCGCCCTCCTCCCCGGAGGGGCCAGGTGGAGGGTTCAAGTGCAGGCCCGTTGTAGCCCCCGACCCCGCGCTTTGGAGACGGCTGCTGGGCCTCGTTGCCTCACCGCCCGAGGGCAGCGCATGGGGCCCTGGCTTCTCCACGCTGGGGCCGGCGGCCTGTGGCCGCTCTCCTGCCTCTTGCAGTGTTCAGTGCCTCTCGTATGGGAGGCTGGGACTCGGTCCCAGTGCAAATCTGTCCCTGGGGCAGGGGCTAAAGGGAGCGAGCTCGCCTGGGCTCAGGTGAGGCCACGCTGCCCCCCAGGCCCGAGGCAGCCCGGTGCTGGGCGCGCTGTGGGCCTCCGACGGCGCTCGCTCGGACAAACCCTTCAGAAGGGGCCGGAGCACCTTCCTGCCTCGAGAACAGACCGAAGTTCATGGGTCCCCAGGGAGCCCGCCACCCAGGGAGTCAGACACGCGCTGGGAATAAATAACTTACGTCAAGTTATTATATTCCTTGGGTGGTGATAGAGAGGCTGAATTTTTAGCAGGGGGGAAGGGAACAAAGTGTAACAAAAATTGAGGTAAAAGTAATATCCGCATTCACTTGCCTCAGGCGGGGGCGCTAATGAAGAACAGCTCAGAGCCGGTTCCTGTTTAATTTTTGATGCGAAGCCACCAGGGAGTCGGTTGCCCGCATGTTCGATTTCAGCCGCTCGGGAACCTTCGCAGTTCTCGGCGGTAACGACCTGTGCCTTCCGATCCCAGCGAGGGCACCGTGCCCGCTGACTGGTCTGTGCGGAGCGGCCAGGCTCCGGAAGGCTCGCCGCCCGGCCCCGGCGGGGGCAGCTGCCCTCCTGGGCCTGTTTCCCGGAAACCCCGGCTCTGTCTGGGGCGTCACGTTCTCGAGGCGGGGACTCATCTGGGCAGTCCCGGCAGAGCCTCGCTCCCGCTGCCTGGCAGGGGGTCAGGGAGGGGCCGCCTCCCCGGTCTGCCTTGACCTTCCCGCTGGCGCACAGCCCTGGGGGCCGGCCCACCCCACGGCCTCAGGACCCACGGGCCTCACTGCCCACCTTCCCCTGACGAGAATGCCAAGTTCAATGAGACACCGGTTTCTCTTGATTTTACCCTGGAAAACGTCATCTGTTTCCATTGACTGATAAAATGCTCAGCAGAGAACACGGCTGTTGTGCCATATAATTCTAGACTTTAATGGGGAACGCTGGGGTCCTCAAATCCGACCCTTTCCTCTTGGAAAAATGAACACCCAAAGGCCCAGAGGGGGCCGGCTTGCCCAGCGCCAGCCGCCGCCTCTGCTCACCCGCCCGGGGTTTGCTGCGCCGCGCCGGCTGATGGCAGCGCCTGACCACGTGACTGTCAGCAGGTCTTCGCGATTCTGACAGTTTCCTTCCTCTCAGGAACCGAGTTCCTGTCCTCTCCCAGGGCTGCGCCCACCAGTCGGTGGCCTGAGCAGCTTGTCTGTGTCACGCCCCGCAGCCTGAGTGACGCCGCTGTCCCGGGGCTTCCTTTCCCGTGGTCAGTCTCCCTGGAGCTTCTGCACACAAAGCAGCACCCAGCGTCTGGGCGGCTGTCTGCACCGACGTGTGCGGCAGGTGGAGGACACAGCCTCCCCCGTAGGAGCCGGCAGGCCAACCGGCGACCGGTGACCGCGTAGGTCGTTCTGTCAGGTGGCCACCCGGCCGGTGCAGCTCCGCGGCGTTCGTGTCTCTTGGGCAGGGACAGGGAGGCCCTGGAGCGCCCTGTCCCGGGCCGCCCGCCGCTCCTGCTGCGCTCTCTGCGCCCCCTCAGGACCTCGGCACCCGGCCCCTTCCCGTGGGTCCTCGTCCTCAGGGCCTCGTGACGCGTCGGGGCCTGTGGGCCTGCGCGCAGGAGGGCAGCCCCCGAGGGGAAGCCACAGCGCACACCCAGCACCCCGCCCCCGCTCCTGCCGGCCACACGCCGCCGTCTTCTACCTCCTGCAGCCACAACATTTTATTTGCTCAAATTCGAGGCGTCCTCGTAGGGCTTAATGGCAGTAATTGACTTCACGTCTGTCTGACAGAGTGGGGATGTCCCCTCCCCAGGCCGCTGGCTGGGGTGGGGGTTGGGGGCGGGAAGGACGGGGCTGCTGCCGCCTCTGGGGACTGTCCTTGGCTCCTCGGCGGCAGGGGCAGGCCTGCCAGCGTGCAGGGCCGTGGGGCGAGGCGCTTCCCCCACGTGTCTGAGTGGCAGGAGCCAGCCCTCTGGGCTCTGTTCTCTGTGCATGGCCATGGGGTCCCTGGGCGCCTGTGTTCCCACTCACGGGGCTCCCGTTCGGAGCTGCGTGGGGGGGCACCCACCTCCAGCCTGGCCTGACATGGCCTGGCGTCCAGGCGGCCCCGGACGCCGCCCCGGAGGCGAGGTTGCAGCCCCAGGCCATGAGCCAACTACTTCCTGTGCCCAGGGGAGCCTGCTTCTGAGGGGAAGGGCTGAGGACGAGGAGCCGGGCCGCGCGGGGCCCACCCGATGTCCGCGGCCGGCAGTATCCCGCAGAGCGAGTGCTTGCCGCGCGGCGGGGGCAGTTTGGGGTCCCGGTGCCAGTGACCCTGCCAAGCCTGCTGCTCTCTCGAGTCTCAGGGGGCCCTGTAAGGCTGACGGAGCCGGCGGTGCAGGGGCGGTGCCGGCCAGCGCTGGCCGGTCGGACGGGGGCTGGCCCTGGCTCCTGGGAGGGTGGAGGGGGGTCGACAGGCGGACCTCCTTTCTGCCGGCCGGACCCAATGGGTCCGATGGAGTGTCCAATGAAGCGTGTGGCCTGAGCCTGGCGTTCTGTGGCACGTCGGCGTGTGATGGCGCCCGGCCCAGCGCCGGGTGCCGCAGCCGCGCCCTCCACGTGGGCAAGCTGCTGTGCCGGGGACGCTCAGGGCAGGGGCGGGAGGGCCCCCTGTTGTTCCCGAGCCTCTTCCTTATTTCGACTTGAAAAGAAGACATGCCACAGACAAGGTGGTTCAGCGGGCGGCCCGCCACGGGCCCCAGCCCTCCCCAGGGGCCACTGCGTGGCGTGGCATGGCCTGGCCGCGGCTCCGCTCTGCCGGGCCCTGGCAGCGGGCACTCCTTGATGCCGTGCCCTCTGCTCTCCCCATAGGCAAGCCTGGGACCTCGCGGTGGACATCTGCCTCTCCCAGCTGCCCACGATCATCGAGGAAGGCACTGCATTTCGGGTGAGTCCCCCTGCCCGCTGCGTGGTTTGCTGCGCGGCTCCTCGGGCGCCCAGCCTGCAAAGCGCCCATCGGGCGTGGTGCCCAGGGCTCCGCGGTGCCACGTGCCCACTGACCCTTGTCCAGAGCTCAAAAGTCGCGTCAGCGGGGGGCCCCGCGCCAGCTCTCGAAGCGGCCAGCTCCCTGGGAAGGCCGCCTGCGCGCGCAGCCTCGGGGTCTGCTTTTCTTGCCACCCGGGTCCCGCCCGCCCGCCCGCGGGCTGTGTGCTCCCTGTGCTGGGAGTGGAGGACGCTGTGCCCAGTGGCGCTGCCGTGGAGGGGTCACGCTCGGCCCCCGGGATTGTCCCGGCCCCAGCGCCCCGCTCGCCGGTGGGGGCCTGGTGCCGTCGCGCTCACGTGGTTTCACTCGCGGCACCTGAGGGTCTCCAGGGCCCCTCCTGCCGCTGCCCACGTGGCCCCCTTTGGTTTCAGGATTCACTCGCTGAGGGTGGGACTGCAGGCCTGCATGCCCGTCCTCGTCAGGGGTCCCGGGGGCCTGAGAGGCGCTCGGGGTGGCCGGGGGGCGTGGGGTCCCAAACCCCAAACGCCGGGCCTGTGCGTGCCGCGTGTGGTCCATGCTGTGCCGTCGGGGAATCCGAGGGAAGGGTCCGGCTCCTGTCCCACCTCCCACTCCGTGCAGCGCCCTGTCGGTGGCCCTCATCTCCCTCGTCGTTTCTAACCGACGAGAACTGCGTGCCCCCGCGTTTGGGGATTACCCCAGCGAGCTGGGGCGGGAGGCGGGCAACTGGGGCAAACCTCGCGCTAGCTTTCTATCCTGCTTTCGCTGTAGCAACTGCCCGGACCCCGCTGCCCCCGGCCCCTTGCCAGGACCCCGCTGAAAGAGGGAAAGGGAGGGAGGAGAGGGAGAGAAGCATCGCTGTGTTGGCTCTCGCGTGCGCCTGACCAGGGACCAGACCTGCAACCCAGGCTCATGCCCTGACCGGGAATCGAACTGGCGACCTCGACCTTTGTGGGACGACACCTGCCCCACGGAGCCACGCCGCTCAGGGCTCATTATGAGTTTTTGCCTTGATATGTATTTATTTTTTTTAAATATTGTGTCAGAGTATTTTTGCTGTCGATCGCTGAGGTTTTGGGCACCCCCAGATCTTGTGCGGGAGGTGAGTGTCGTGGTCTGTCGGGAGTGCCCCAGATCTGGCTCGCCCGGTCCCCCTGCGCCATGCACCGGGCGCCTCGCCCGCTCTCTGTCCGCGGCCGTGGTTCTGGTTTGACAGGAGGGGGGTTCCCTGAGCTTCTGTCTTGTGTTTACGCCTGACCGTCCGTCCCGCTGAGCACTGCCTGGTATTTCCCCTGGCCCTCGGTCTACCCGCTCTTGTGAGCTGCCTGTTGGAGTCTTCTGATGGGTTTTCTCTTCTATTCTCCATTTCTTTTTCTTTTTCTTTTTAAGATTTTATTTTTAGAGAGAGGAGAAGGCAGGGAGAAAGAGGGAGAGAAACATTGATGTGTGAGAGATACATTGATTGGTTGTCTCTCACACGCCCCCTACTGGGGACCTGACGCGCAACCCGGGCCTGTGCCCTGACTGGGACTCAAACCAGCGACCCCTTGGGTCACAGTCAGGCGCTCAGTCCACTGAGCCCCACCAGCCAGGGCTGTTGTCCATTTCTTATGCTGGATGTGTACACATTCCGAATATGCACCTTTGTCACGCTGCAGACTTCCTCCCCCGTGGTGACTCCATAGGGACAGACGTGATGGAGAGGTCACCCCAATACTTCCTGTCTCCTCACGAAGTCCGGGCAACATCACTGTCCTCTGTGCTGTGTGCTGCACCCCCGCAGCTTCGCTGCCTTCTCACTGACGTTTGTCCCGCTTTGTCTCCTTCACGCCGTCACCTGCCCCCCGCCCACCCTCTGGGACCACCGTCGGTGGTCCCGTCCCTCAGCGTGGCTGTGAATCATGTCTTTTCATGTTCCCGTGTCACGTTCGCTCCTTTGTTCTGGTGATGCTCCTGCCCACGACTGGCCCTGTCCTAAAACTGAAGGCAGGCCTGGCATGCGTGTCTGTCCCCAGAGTTGGGCAGACGGGCATCCACAGTCGGCGTCGTGTGGGGGCAGACGGGCGAGGAGCAGGACCTACTGTGCAGTGGAGACGGCGGGCAGGCGGGGCCGAGGGCCCCTGCCAGCCGGGCTGTCCGGTGGGGCGCACCTGGACCACGGGGAGCGCTTCTGTTCTCTCCTCCCCGAAGCCGTGTGGTCGCCATACGTGGCAAGCGTCCCACTCCGTGGTCGGGACCCCACCTGCCCACCCAGCGTGCTGGACGTGCCCAGAGCCGGAAGAGCCGCCCCCTCGGGACAGCAGCCAAGGGTGACGGCGCGCCCCGTACCCAGGTGCGGCTCGGTGTGCCCACCGCCGGCGCCCGCTTTGGTCCCTTGTGCTCAGCGCCTGTTCTCAGGCCCCAGACTCTGAGCCATGGCTGACAACACAGCAGAGCTGTCCTGGGAGGCCCGGCCACGTGGCCCCAGGACTCAGCCTGAGCCCACGGAGTGTGCGCTGTTCTCTGGGACCCTGGCCCCCAGTTCCGTGTCCGGGTCCCCAGGGAGATGTGGCCCCAGCGCCTGCTCTGAGTCAGCGTCAGATGCACGTGGGCCACTCTCAGGAGCTGCCGGAGCGTCGCCAACAGGCCGCCCTGCGCGCAAGCTCCCGGGCCGGGGAGCACGACGGGCCCACGGCTTGTCCCACACAAAGGTGTCTCCTTCTCCGTCCGTGTCGGGGCGAGCAGCCGTGTGGTGCGCTCTGCGCGGAGCCGCTCCTCCCACGGGAACGCATGGGCTCCGCCAGGCGGGGCGGCCAGAGGGGCAGGGCTCCCAGCCTCCCCGGGCGCAGTCCTTGCCGCTGCGGGGGCGGCCCCTGACACGATTCTCTTCTTTAAGCCCATGTATGAATAATTCACACTCAGACACAGGAAAACCGCCTTGGGGGCCCTGCTCCAATCCAGTCTGCCCTCCGCGCTGGAGCTCCGTGCTGCGAGCTGACAGGGCAAGAACCCTTGCACAGTCGTCTGCTGAGTTCTTGCGCGACACGCCCTTCCTGCGGGGCTCGGTGCTCTGACCGCCGCGTCCCGCCAAAGGCGTGGGGTCAGCGCATCTCGACTGTGGCCTACAGACATGCTGAGGCCCCGCCTGCACCCACAGCCCTTCACACACGTGTCCCCACGCGCCATGTGCCCGGAACCTGGGGCCACAGCCCGCCCCGCCTTCCCACCCACCCACCCCCGGGGAGCAGAGCCGGTGAGGAGGGAGGCGAGCGGGTCGGAGCAGGGATCTGCCGTTTGGGTTCTTTTTCTTCGGGGCTCAGGGGTGGGAGAAGTATCCTCGGTGAAAACGGCCTGTCGGACGGCAGGTCTGACCTTCCCCTGGGCCTCTTGGCTCCGTCCACGGCCTGGCGCCTCCAGCCAGAGCCCCTCCTGCTTCTGCCTGGTCCCTGTCACCGCTGGCAAGGCATCCCGTCCACGATGCCGGCGTAAGGACTGCCCAGCCCTCAGGCTCCACGCCGCGGTCCAGCTGTCCTCGGCCACCCCGGCCCCGGTGCCGCGCCGGCCTCCCCCAGCCATCGACCACAGCTCAGGCTCCGGGCCCCTCTCGGCCCTGCCGCGCCCTGTCCCCGCCCCGATCCCTGAGTAAATGGCGCCCGCGCGCTGGGCAGCACTGGAGCGGCGCGGCGAGCCTGCCGTGCTGCCTCGGTTCCCGTCCTTCCGTCCTTCCCGGCCTCCAGCGCACTGGGGACCAAGCCGTGAAGGCCCCGCCCGCCCCCGCCTGCTTCCCATCTTCATCCCGAGCAGCGGCCTGGCCCCCTGCCCTGCGGCCTCTGTCCGGCACCAGCAGTGCCCTGACCCAGTCCTCTCAGCTCACAGTGCACCCGGTCCCCATTTCAAACTGACCTCCCTCCCTGCCCACTGCCAGTAGCCGGCTCTGCTGGAGCCGCCCCCGCCCCCGGGCCCGCCACCCTCTGCTTCGAGTCCGCTGCAGCTGGGACAGTCCTCAGTCCTCCGCAGGGCCCTCCGCCTTTCTCAGCCAGGCCGTCCAGTCTGGGTGGGCACCTTGCCTGACCCTCCCGTCTTGGGCTCTGCCGACCACGCCTCCTGCACACAGCCCCCCGGGGCTCCTGCCCTCCTCTGCCAGCTCCCCCTCGCCACCTCAGCCTGGAGCCTTGGGGTGCTCCGGGCTCAGCCTGGGGTCCTCTAAGCCAGGGCCTCGCTCTTCAAGCGCAGACGTGTGTGGCCCCCCTGACGGCTTCCCTCGGGTGTCCAGCAGGGATCTGACACGTGACACAGCCACAGGGGATCCTCCCTCCTCCCCCTCCCAGACGTGCCCCCCCCAGCCCTCGCCTCAGTTCATGGGGACCCCACCCTGCACTCAGGCTGGGCCTCGAGTAGCCCTTGACTCGCCTCGTCTCCCTGGCCCACCTCCGGGCCTGCGCGCGGCCCGGCCCCCTCTTCTCGCGGGGACGGGGACGGGGCGGCCACCAGAGCGGCCACTGAGTGTGAGGGCGGTGGACGTGCGGGCCCGCTGGCCCCAAGAGGTCAGCTCTCTGACTCGCGCCCCTGCCTGTCCCCAGCACAGCCCCTTCTTTGCCGAGCAGCTGACCGCCTTCCAGGTGTGGCTGGCCATGGGCGTGGAGAACAGGAGCCCACCCGAGCAGCTCCCCATCGTCCTGCAGGTGAGTGGCCGGGGGGAGGCTGGGCCGGGGCTTGGGCCCGAGGGTGCGGGGAAGCGGCCACACGGGTCCGTCCGAAGCCACTGGGGCTAAACGCACGTTTGCTCCTGAGACACTGACTTGGGTCAAAGCTGTTGCCCCACCTCTCTTTCAGCTGCGCGGGCCCCGTCGTCCGCCCGCCCGCCCGGGGACGCGGCCGCGCTTCCCTCCGTGGACACGGGTGGGAGCCCACGCTGCCTTGTGCCAGCTGCACGCAGGCTCTGAAGGTCGCTTCCAGCACAGCTGGTTTCCCCGCTCTGCGCCGTGTGCTGGGGCTCTCAGCAGAGGGCGGGGTCAGGGGGATGCGCGGGAACGTTGTCGGCATGCAGCAGAGTAGCCCCTTGCCAGAGTCCTGGGGCAGCTTCTGTGTTCTGGCTGCTGCTCTTCCGACATCGTGAGGAGAATGCTAACGTGACTGCTGTTTCTTTCATGTGCTTCCAGATTAGTTTCAGGCTCTCCTGAGTTTGCAAGGTGAGCTGTGAACAAACACATTCTCAAAACCAAAAATAAGCAGTCACAGCAAAACAAAGAAAACTGACCGTTTTGCAGAAGACAAGGCTTTCTCCTTGGGCGAGTGCAGCCAAGTGGCCAGGGACGAGCGAGGCCGGGCCGACGGGTGTTGGGGCGCCGGCTGCAGCCTGTGACCCGCGCTGACCTCCCTGTTTCGACAGCAGCGGGAGGGAGCGAGGCGGGCGCTCTGCAGGGCAGGGGCGCGGCGCGGAGCAGGCGGCGTCTGGCTCCCTACGGTCTGGCCTTCCATCGGCTGCTCTCTAACGTTCCATTTACAACCTGCACTCCCTCGGGAGGAGGCGGCCTGTGACAGGAAAGGGGGGCGTTTTCTGCGTGACCTCGCACACAGACGGCAGGTCCTGCCTCCTCCTGGGCGCAGGCGGGTCCACGCAGGCGCCTCGACTCTGGAGAACGGGGAGACGGGCGCAGGGAGCCTGCCGCCCGGGCGCAGCCACGTGCGCTTCATTGTCAGCAGGTCAGGGACCCAGCCCTCCTTCTCCTACGGACAAACTTGGCTTCTGCCGAGGCCGGACCCCACTGCCCATAAACCACCCCTGTGTGCTGGTGAGGCACAGAGTGTGGCTCAGGGTGCAGGGTTTCGCTGCGGGTTCTGCGGCTTTGCCCGCCCCTGCTGCTGTCTCACAAGCCAGAAGGGATTTCCTCCACCTGGAAGCGCGGGCGTTAGCTGGTGACCGTCCACGTTGAAGAAGCTGTCTCCTTGGGCCGGCAGGGTGCAGCCCCTCCAGAAGACGTCAGCACAGACCTACGCTCCCCGGCCAGCCCCAGCTTGGCAGAAGGGGTGCGAGGGAAGATTCCGGAAGCCCAGCGAGGCCAGGTGTCGGGTGGCTAGGCCCGGCCGTGGCGTTCCCATCGCGCACCCCCCCCCCACCCGCACCGTGGTCTGCGATGATGCCCCAGGCGGAGGAGAAGGGGAGGCAGGACTCCTTAGGACAGTGTCAGCTTGCCCGTCGGTTCGGGCCTCGTGTGAGACCATTGGCTGTCGCTGCCCCGTTTGATTTACAAACAGCTGCCCTGGAAGCGGCAGGTGCTGGGGCAGCAGACGGAGCCAGGGCGCTGCCGCTGTGCCTCGTCTTCACCGGGGCTCCAGGCGCGTGACCCGGGGCTGCCGGGCACCGCCCTACGGTCCGCCAGTGCCGGGAGTCTCGTGTTAGGCGGCCATGTGGCCGACACGCCTGAGCGCTCCGCGTGGGACACGGACATGGCCCAGGTGCCACACAGCAGCTGCGTCCACGCGGGTCCCGGTGCCTCCGCCATTGATCCCGTGAACCCTTCGGTGCCCCAGCGTCTTCTCGGACCTTTCCACCGATCCAGGGCAGCCGGCAACAGGAATGTTTTTAAATGTCTGTGCACACGAAAGCCAGTCTTGATTGTAAAAGTAACTTATGTTGGGCTTCAGTTTTTTACAACTGAGTCAACAGAAGGAATCAGAAATCCAATGTCACGTGTTAACGGGTGTCCCACCCAGAGCCCATGGCCCACGTGCCGCCCAGGACGGCTGTGGGTGCAGCCAGCACAGAATCGTCAGTCTCCTCAAAACACGATGAGGGTTTTTTGTGTGATTACGTGTGGCAGTGAATTTAATGTGTGGCCAAGGCGACTCTTCTCCTTCCAGTGCAGTGCAGAGACGCCAAAAGGTTGGACGCCCCTTTAATTTAAAAGAACGCCCTTGGCATTTCCCAGGATGCTCTGCGGACAGTGTTCCTGCATCGCCAATGCCCCCCGACCCGGGGGCGAGACGTGGGATGTCACGGCTCAAGGGGCTCCTCCTGCACAGATGGCACCGGGGCGCCCGCGGAGGGCGTGCCCGACGGGCTCCGTGCTGCGTTTCGGGCTCTGCACGCCACCCTGCTGGTGACCTTCGTGAACAGAGCTGTGAAGATGGTGGCAGGGTTTTAAATAACAACAACAACAAAAAATCTCCGAGAACAGACGTGAGCCAAGCTTCGATGTGTTGGGCGTCCGGTTTTTGACGACTGCAGCACTTTCACAAACTAGAAAACAGGAGGCGCGGCCCGCCCAGCCGTGGAGACACCGGCCCTCGGGCAGGGTCGTGTTCTCTCAGAGCAAGCGCGGCCTCTCGGGAGGCTGCTCAGGACGGACCCGCCGGCGGCTGTCCTCGGAGACGGGGACACAGGCGCCTCCTGCTCCCTGCGCGCCCTCCTGTGGCCTCGGAGAGGGCGCCCACGTCAGACGGCCCACGTGGTCCATTGATGAGGGGACCGCGGTTTCCAGAGCTGAAGTCACTTGAGTAGCTGTTAGGGAGCAAGACAACCAGGCGGCTCGACTCAGGCCACGGCCCCCCGCCAGACTCTGCGCCCCAAGCGCCGCCCTCACAGGGCCCAGGGGGTGCCCCACCACCCGGCCCCGCGGGTTCACCGAGCACGTCAGCCGGCCCCTCGGGGACCACAGTGAACGGGGGGGCGGGGGTGGAAGTGGCCCCCAGGGAGGGTGAGCGAGAGGCAGCCAGTGGCTCCGCCCAGGCCCCCGCCCCGCCCTCGTCCCTGACGCTGGGCTGCCTGGTGCAGCCCCGACGCCCACGCTGACCCCCCACCAGGGGAAGCTCCCACCCTGCTCCTTGGAGAGACCTTGGGAGCCTGCTGCTGTCAGGACCCCCTCACCCACTCACCACCCGGGGTCCTCCCTGCGTCCTGGCCCTGTTCCTGCCGCCATGTCTGCTGCTTCATGGGGAGCAGCTCAGGGCCGCCCCCTGCCCCCACGTGCCAGCCACCGGGCTCCCCGCCGGCCGCCTCTGCGGCCCGACCTTGCGGCCTGGCCGCAGCCTCACCCATCGCCTCCTTCTGGACCTTATTTTGTCACTTCATGTGACGAGTCCCGTGCTCTCCTTGTTCTAGAAGTTAAGAAAGTGGGGTGAAGAGGTCGAGCCATTTTCCCAGGGGGCACACAGCAAACTGTGTCGGCCATGTGGCCGTGGGGGCCCCGGGGCGTCCGGTGGGCAGAGAGGACTGGTCAGGCCGGGGGCAGCTTGGCGGCACGCGGACACGCCACTCTGGCCCTGTCACATGCATCCCGCCCGCGTCCTGGGGAGGGTCCGTGTAAGTGCGCAGAGGTGCGCTTGGCAGCGTGTCTGGCAGCAGGAAGGGGCAGGGACTCGCCTGTGGGCAGGGGCTGCTCAGGCGCATCCCGACGTCCCCATGGGCGAGGCGCGGGGCTGCTGTGGGGCCGATGTGGCCGGCGGTCGCCCGTGCCAAGGGAGGGCCGCACACTTCACCTGGTCGGAGAGGAGAGGACACGGGCCACAGCATCTCCTCTAGCACAGGAGGGGGAGGGGAGCCGCCCGTCGCGACCACTGCCAGCGTCTGTGTGCCCAGGTGCCGTTGGGGAAACACTGGTGACTGCGGGGCAGAGGGTCCGTTCCCCTGCTTCCCGGGCGCCCGCCTCGCGTGGACGCCGCGCAGGGCATCCTCCTGGCCTGTCGGAGCGGAGCTGCTGGGAAGCAGCCTCTGGGCCGCAGGGACCGGACAGGCGCAGGGCGACCCCGGAGCGGCCGGCCTGGCCCCACGGCCTTGCAGTGACCCCACCTCCTTCTTCCCCCAGGTGCTGCTGAGCCAGGTGCACCGGCTGAGAGCCCTGGACTTGCTGGGAAGGTTCCTGGACCTGGGCCCCTGGGCGGTGAGCCTGGTGCGTGTTCCTGCTGCGTGTGAACCATCCGAGAAGTGACCTGGCCCTGTGGCCGAGGGTGGCGTGGGGGCGGCCAGTGGCCATGAGGCCCTGGGAGGACGCATGCTGTGGGCCTGTGGCCGCGGTGTCTGGGTGCGGCTTTGTCCCCCTGTCCCCTCTGCTGTTACTAGGCATCACCTCTGCAGGACAGAAAGTGCTGCAGTGTGCGGCCGTCAGGGGCGGCTCAGCCCCGCCCCGGCCCTGCCGTGGCCCGGCAGCAGCGGCCGCAGCCGGGGCCTCTGCAGGGAGGAGAGGCCCAGTTACAGCCAGAAAGGCTGGAACCAGAAAGCAGCTCCATTTTTTCCACAGATCAGAGAGGGAGAGACATTGAGGAATCTGTAGATTAAAGGAGGTTCAAGAGTTGCAATGCAGGGGCCCTATTTGGTTCTATGTGCAAATAATTTGAAATTTAAAGGCTGAAATATTAATACTCATGAAAGAATTAGAAATTTAGCTGAATGTTTTGTTATTAAAGACTAATCGCTCGTTGTTGTAGGTGTGGGAACGGTACGTGCCGCTACTTTTATGTGAGAGGCCTTATCGGTAAAGATGAGCGCGGGACATTTACAGATGCAGCTGCGCAGAGCGTGCCGGGCCCGGGCGGGGCTGGGGGCCGGCGCGGCTGCGGCGGGTGTGCACAGGTGTGCGGCCTGTTAGCTGGCCTCCGTTTGGGGATGTTTAAGTCTCATTATGTAATGTCAACGAAGGGCCACAGTGGAGAGCCCAGCGCTGGGGGGTGGGCCCGGGGGGCCTGTTGCTCCAGGGAATGTGGACCAATAACACTTCAGAGAGATTCTCATTCATATGGTTCATTAAATTAAAAAAAAAAAACAACCCTAAATCTGGCCCTTAGCGAATCACACTTAGGTTCATTGGAAATTTGTGATTTGCTGGAAAAACCAGGCGCTGTGAGGGGCACAGACCCAGCCCATAGCTGAGGGCCCGGCCGCCTGAGCCGGGGAGGCGAGGGCTTGGCCCTCGTGAGCGTGGCCTTTAGCGGGGGACACGGGCCCTGCCGCTGCCATCGGCCTGGGCCATGTTGTGGGAATTCCCCCACGCCCGAGATCAGGCTGGCACGGAACGGATGGAGTTGACGTCCCGGGGCCCTGCCCCGCCGTCCTGAGGCCACCTTCTCTCTGAGTCCCCTGCCTGGGAGCAGAGAGGGTCCCCCCACCCCCGCCAAAGGTGATTTGCTGCCAGAAACCAGGCCCCAGGAGGGCCCCCCCACCCCGGCCCTGCACTCACCTCCATCCAAAGGTCAGCCTCCCGTGCGCACGTGGCTGTGGAGCTGGGCCGGCGCGGCCCCACGCATGCGGGTCACAGTGCGGGACTGGCCCTGCTGCCGAGAGCAAGCCGAGGCGCCGGGGCCAGGACCGGGGTCCAAGGGCCAGGCTGCCCGGCGGCTTCGGGGAACGGGGTCGGAGCCGGGAACGCGCTCGGCCTGCCCGCTCGCCGCCGCCCGACCGCCGCCGTCCCGCTGACGCTGCCCCGTGCCCGCAGGCCCTGTCGGTGGGCATCTTCCCCTACGTGCTGAAGCTGCTGCAGAGCTCGGCGCGGGAGCTGCGGCCCCTGCTCGTCTTCATCTGGGCCAAGATCCTCGCCGTGGACAGCGTGAGTGGTTCACCCCCGGCCCCGGGCGTCAGGCCGCCCCTGCATGCCCCGCGACCTCTCCCTGCCGCGGACCCCGAATAAGCCAGCCTGGCCTGCAGCCGGGGCTCCGGCTTACCCGCCCCCCGCCGGCACGGCCTTTCCCTGGGACTCGGCCCCACCCTGCCTCCCACCGCCACCTGCCTGCTTCCCCAGCGCCTGGGCCCCCCCTGCCGTGCACCAGAGCCCCGGTGCCTCGCTTGGCTCGCACCCCGCACGCCAGGCTGTGCGCCCTCCTTCCTCCTGAGAGCGTGGTGCTTCTCACGCAGCCCCGGGATGTGTGTCTGGGAGCAGCTGCTGCGGCCGCTTTTTCTCCAGCGAGATTCCGAGGCTTGAAATAGTCACTGTGCGTCCGTTGGTTCCTGCATCACAGGCGCGAAGGGAGCCCCTCGCAGGCCCTTGCGCTCACGTCTCCCTCGTGTCTTCTCTCCCCAGTCGTGCCAAGCGGACCTGGTGAAGGACAACGGCCACAAGTACTTCCTTTCGGTCTTGGCGGACCCCTACATGCCAGTAAGGACCAGACACACTCAATTGGGGACAGCTGGAGATTGGTGTCGTTTGTCTCTGCTCCCCTGTTACGCTGTGGTGGCCCCGGGTAGTGGCTCTGGGGGAGGGGCTCCTCACCGCTCGCCCCCCGGGTGGAGGGCCACGCTGCGGGGGCCACGTGTGCACGGCAGCCGCTGGCTCGCTCGCTTGCTCCGGCGGCGCAGGGTTCGGCAGCTGTCTCCTTGCTGAGTCTGAGAGCTTGGGTGACCCCGACGTTTGTCGGTGTTGGTCTGTTTTTCCTGGCACACCATGGCTGTGCGCCAGAATCCCCCCTCCACTTCCTGTCCGCTGAGTCCGCTTCGCGCGCGCTGGGACGTCTGTGATGTGACGGGCCACACACCCAGCAAAGGTTCGGGCGTGACAGGACGACGTGCCTCAGGCCTCAGGGAGGGAGGGAGGCGCGGAGTTCGAATGTTAACTGGGTTTTCTCATGACATTGAACCTTTCAGACACAGGTGTCTTGGAATAGCACGTATAGTAACTCCTGTGAAGGTTTTCTAATGCATTTCTGGATTCCCTAACTCCAGCTCCTCGCAGTGACGAGGACCAAGGGGACGTCCTACCTTTAATTAAGTGCAACAGGTCATTTATGGTCTTCCGTGGCTTTCGCTGTAGAAGGGAACGTTTGTACACAATTTAACCCCCTAGTTGGTTTTCTAAACTAAATGGTGACTTAAAAAACAAAACATCAACAACAGGATTGTCAGTTATGCAAATGGTAGGTAGTGCTCGTGTGTTTGAACTTCGGGGTGGCATGTAAACACCGGCATGGGCAGCTCAAGTCAACACTCTCCCTGCGTTTGGGAAACAGCGCCCCGTTGTCCAGGGCTGGGGGGGTCACCGACGAAGTGGATGGAACGCGCCGGGCCGGCCAGGTGCGGTGAACCACAGGCTATGCCAGCAGAAAGGGGCCCACTCCAACCACAAACGCGCTCTCACGTTCGGGGGACACGGGCAGGTTTGAATGGAAGGGAAGGAAGGCCCCACGGCCAGATGCTCCCGAGAGAAGTCGGAGGCAGCAGTGCAGCCCCCGGGGAGGGGCCGGAGCCGCAAGCCTGCAGGGTCCGCGAGAGGCAAAGGCAGCCCCTTCACTCAGGATGCTTCACCGGCTGGGAAGCCGGCAGGGGAATCACACCGAGCAAGGAGCAGGCAGAGCTCGGAAGACGAAAAGCTGGTGCGAACGAGCATATTTAAAGTGGTTGGAAGAAACAGCCCCGGCTGGTGCGGCTCAGCAGACTGAGCGCCGGCCTGGAAACCAAAAGGTCGCCAGTTCCATTCCCAGTCAGGGCACAGGCCTGGTCCCCAGGAGGGGACGCACTAGAGGTAACCCCACACTGATGGTTCTCTCCCTCTCTTTCTCCCTCCCTTCCCCTCTCTCTGAAAAGAAACAAAATTGAAAAAAATTCTTTAGAATGGCTGGCAGAAACAGTTTAATTATTTCAAAAAATAAACCAGTGTATTATTGTTCCTTCAGATGGGCTTTTGTTCCTATTATAGGAAACCGTGTATTCTGTCCTTTTTACTCACCCTGCAAGTGACCAGCTAGATTCTTAAAAACGGACTTGGGGTGGGGGCAGAGCATGGTCACTGCCAGTCAAGACTCCGCGGAGGGCGGGGGCAGCAGGGCGGGCCCAGCCAGGGAGAGGCCGCGTCAGGCAGCCCGGCGTGGCACGCGCGCGCGGAGCTTGCTGAGGAGGCCAAACGAGAACAAGTCTGCGCAAAGAGCCATGACAACGCGGGGGTTCGCCGGAGGCGCGAGTGGCCGGGACCAGAAGGGAAGCTGCGCAGAGAGACCGTGACCCGCCGTCAGCTCCAGCAGGACAGCAGGGGGCGCTGCCGTCACCCAGAATTCTCTGTTCATCTGGCGTGTCACCGACAACGAGGACAGTTCGGTGTGCAACCCCCACCCAAGATCATTCTAAAGCCCACGGTTCTGCAGGACGTTGGGCGCAGGAGGCAGCGAAGAGCAGAGACGTTGGCCGGCGCGTCGCTTGTGAAAATGATGGAGAACCCCCAGCCGCGCGGGGTCAGGCCAGGAGGCGGCCCCGCACAAGCCGGCAGATGGCAGAGGGAAGGACCTGGCTAGGGGCGGCCGTCCCACAGAAGCCCCGGAGGGAAAGAAACAAAGCCAAGTTAGGGTTCCTTTGACAGCATGTGCTTGACTAGGGGCGGCCAGGGTACGGCCTGTGCCCTCAGACCCTCCCCCGCCCTCCAAAATGGCTGCCTGAGGCCGGCGAGGGGCCGCTCTTTCCTGGAGGCTCGAGAAGGTGACTCTGCGGCGTCGTCTGCTGTGCTTGGGGGAGGCGCGGACTGAGGGAGGCCTCTGTTTTCCAGGCCGAGCACAGGACCATGACGGCTTTCATCCTCGCTGTGATCGTCAACAACTACAACACGGGGCAGGTGAGCGTCCCTGCGTGTCCCCTCCGCCCCCCATGGGAGGCGGGGCCCAGCTGCTGTGCTCGGGCACCACGGAGACCACTGTCCCGAATGTCCAGTGAAACAGCCCTCGGGAGGGGTGGCCGGATCACGCCAGCGGGGGGCGGGGGGCACCGCCGAGGAGGGGCTGCCCCCGTGCTTAGCCAGCGTCCGCAGGCTGAACTGACATCGGTGGGATCTAAAGTGAGGGACGAATCAAGGTCTCCTTGAGAAACACCAGGGCCGTGGCCCCGGCCGCATGTGTCCCTGGCGCCCACGTTGTCCCCTGTGCCTCGCAGGAGGCCTGCCTGCAAGGCAACCTGATCGCCATCTGCCTGGAGCAGCTCAGCGACCCCCACCCCCTCCTGCGCCAGTGGGTGGCCATCTGCTTGGGGCGCATCTGGCAGAACTTCGACTCGGCCAGGTGGTGCGGGGTGCGGGACAGCGCCCACGAGAAGCTCTGCAGCCTCCTCTCTGACCCCATTCCTGAGGTGAGTCCGTCCCTGCCGGACACCGCGTGGGAGGGGGCGCCGTGGCACAGCGCCCCGGCAGGACCTGCTCTCGCGTGCCGCCTGGCGTCCAGAAACCGCCCCCGCCCGCCTCACTGCCGCCAGCCCCTCGGGCCGGGGCCACCAGGACCCCCTGTGCCGCTCCCCCGTCTCCCCCTTTTCGCGCGCCAGGCCATGACCTGTCCCCTCCCGCAGGTGCGCTGCGCGGCGGTCTTTGCCCTGGGCACGTTCGTGGGCAACTCCGCGGAGAGGACTGACCACTCCACCACCATCGACCACAACGTGGCCATGATGCTGGCGCAGCTCATCAGCGACGGGAGCCCCGTGGTCCGGAAGGTGCGTGGCCCTCGCCGCCGCGGGGCACTTCACAGGCGGTCTCCCCACAGCCTGTGCGGTGGGTCCGTCCCGGGGCAGAGCCACGGGCCCCGCCCTCGCGTGTCAGCCGCTGCACAAACCCGTGGGGGACACTGGGAGTGGCCACTGGTCTCAGTGTAGCCATAGCAGCGATTTCCACCCGGGTCTTATAGCATCGGAAGTTGGCTCAGCACAGCCAGGTCCCCCGTCCATCCCTAAAGAAAAGGGCCGCGGGGGCTCGCGGTCACCGGCTGAGGGCCGCGCAGCCAGGGCCTGGGCAGGGGGCAAGGCTGCAGGAGGGGCCGAGGCTGCAGGCCGAGCTCTCTGGGCCAGGGCGGCGCTCTGGGTGCGTCCTCCCTGCAGCAAATGGCTGGTGGCTGCTGCCTCCCAGGTGTCAGGCCTGGGACCTGTCAGCGGTCACCAGCGGGCTCCGTGTGCCTCAGAGACACAGGGGACGCAGGCGCGGGAGGGGCCCGCGGCAGTGGGCGGGGGACACCTCTGTGCCGGCCGGGGCCCTGGGGCCTTGTGGCCCAGCAGCGAGCAACCCAGCTCTTCTCTCAGGAACACGCCCTGGCGGGTGGGGGCGGGTGGAGGCTGAACAGACGGATAGTGACCACGCGGTGACGTGGCAGGAGGCCCTGTGGGGGAGGGGAGGCGAGGGGAGCAGAGAGAAGAGGCGCAGAGCAGGGAGGGGTTCCCGGCGGACACTGAGCGGAGTCCCCCGGGGGACTTTGCGGGCGGAGGCGACAGGCGGCCGGGAGCTGGGCGGGCGAGGCTGCGCGGTGTCCTGAGTGGGAGCAGAAGGGCCCGAGGGCGGGAGCCGAGGCGGCCCCGGAGTGATGCTGCACCCGCCCTTCCGTTTTGAGGGCCGTGGCTCGTGGCGCCCCCGCCCCCCCGGGCCGAGGCAGACGGAGCACTCGGCGAGCCTGGGTTGGCGGGAAGGCCGCCACCGTGCCGGGTCGGAGGGCGCCATCGGGCCTGCAGCCCGCAGCTCGGCCGCCGGGGGCCTGTGGGGGAGTCAGCCCGGGGCACAGAGGCGGCGGCAGCAGGGGGCCTGCCCCCCCTGCTCAGGAGGAGCGGCGTTCACTCGTGTGTCCTCGCTGCATTGTCTCCCATGGGTCATTCTCGCGGGCATCTGGTGCCCTCCTGGAGGCCGCCTGTGGCCGGTGGCCTGACCTTGACCTTAACCTCCCTTGTAGAGAGGCTTCAGTTCCCCCCACGCTCCGAGAGCCTCACCAGGAGGCGCAGTCCCTGCTGCTGACACTGAGCGCGGAGTTCTGTCCTCACTCTCCCTCCTCCGCGCCGACCCCAGTGCCCGACCCCAGTGCCCGGCAGGAACGTCAGGTGTCCCGGCTCCCCCCGCACGCCGCAGCCGCCAGGGGCCGTGACTGTCCTTGTCCCTTTCGGCAGGAGCTGGTGGTGGCGCTGACTCACCTGGTTGTGCAGTACGAGAGCAACTTCTGCTCCGTGGCCTTGCAGTTCATGGAGGAGGAGAAGAACTACCCCCTGCCTTCTCCTGCGACCACAGGTACGGCCCCCATCCGTGGCCCTCAGCCAGGTGAGGACCCTTGTCAGAACCATCAGCGGCCGCTCCGATGCCGGCTCCGAGCGGCCCCGTGGTCCCCATCTGCGGGCACTGAGGGGAACAGAACGGGCGGGAGGGGCTGCGCTGAGCCTGTCTCTCTCCTCTCCTTTCACTCTTTCTGGAAATCAAATTCGGGGAAACATTGGGGGTGCCATCGGGGGCTTGGAGAGCAGCCACCGCCCCTCCGGCGGCGACGGAGGCCGTCCCGTGGCTGTGGGGCCCACGGCTTGCCGGGCCACGTTGGACAGCTGTCCTTCGCACGTCTGCCTCTTGCTGGCTTTCTGCGCCGCCGCCCCGCCAGCCCCTCCCCGGCGCACAGGCGGCTCTGCCGGCTGCGAACGCCCCCCCATCTCTTCCCACAGAGGGCGGGAGCCTGACGCCCGTGCGCGAGGGTCCCTGCACCCCCAGGCTGCGCGCCGTGAGTTCCTACGGGAACATCCGCGCCGTCGCCGCGGCCAGGGGCCTGAACAAGTCTCTGCAGAACCTGAGCTTGACGGAGGAATGTAAGCGGCTGGGAGCTGGGCCCTCGGGCTGGGACGCTTGGTGCACACAGGTGCTGCCCTTCTTCCGCCGTGAACGTGCGGCCTGGAGGTGGCAGCTCAGCCCCCAGAGCCCGTGGCCCCGCCAAGCCTGGCAGGCACTCGGGTCCTGAGGCCCCGAGTCCCCGGGTCCCCGGGGTCTCCCAGGGGAGGGCAGCTCCGCCCCGGAGGTCGGGGGCGGGGGCGGAACACGTTTCAGTCACATGCCCGTGACTGCGGGGCCTCCAGCGGGCGGGTGCCCAGCACTGACGCCCTCCCTGCGGGGCGGCAGCTGGCGGCACGGTGGCCTTCTCCCCCGGCAACCTGAGCACCAGCAGCAGCGCCAGCAGCACACTGGGCAGCCCGGACAACGAGGAGTACATCCTATCCTTCGAGACCATCGACAAGATGCGGCGCGTCAGCTCCTACTCCGCCCTCAACTCGCTCATCGGTGAGTCCTGCCTGGCGCGCTCCGCACCTGCCTCCTGGGCCGCGAGCAAGGCGGGGATGCTTCCGGTCTCTTCCGTTCTGAGCTGGTGGCACCAGGTGGGCTGTCCGGTCCGGCCAGCGTCGTCACGTAGAGGTTCCAGAACCTTGCATCTGTCCCTGTCACGTCACAGGACAGCCGTTTTCCGCCGGGGGGCCTGCCCCGGGAGGTGCGTGGCGGGCAGTGTCGCACGGGTGCCGCCTGAGAGGACCGTCCTGTCGGTGAGACAGGCTCCGTGTCTCGGGCGTCGCTCCCGTGGGGCTTGTGCGTCTGGGTTCAGAGGGCGCGTGGCGGACGATGCCAGCGTTCTTCAGGTGGCCTGTGTCTTCAGAAGTTAATGTCGGTTGACAAGTTACGTCTCTCTAATGTTGCCCATTCCACCCCAATTTCCTCATTTAGTTCCACGAAGCTGCCCCTGGGCACGCTCGTGGCTTTCTGTCTCTGCGCTGCTTGAGCCGGCAGCCAGCGGGGGGCCCGGGGGAGGCGAGGCCCTGGCCCCGCGCAGCCCCGTGAGGGGCCTCTGCCTGCCGCTCCTCAGACGCGCGGGCCCGTTCGCTTGGCACGCGCTGTGACTTCGTTCAGGACCGTGAGACGGGTCCCAAACCAGAGCCGGCTGCATAAACGTTTCTTTCTCGTCGAAATGCGACGGGGCCAGGGTTTGAGGAGTCCTGAGGCTGACGGGCGCCGGGGTGCGGCCGTATTTTGTGAGCGCCCGCAGCTCCGGTGTCAGGGGCTCGCAGGCGTGAAGAGGCGACTGTGCAGGAGCCGCCGACTTCGGACTTCGAAGCTGGCGCCCTCAGCTCCCGGACCCCCCGCCGCCCCCTAACGCAAGCCGCCTTCCCCACCTCAGCCGAGGGGCCACTCGGACTCAGGCACAGGGGCGCAAAGCCAGGTGTGCTCGCGACCGCTCCTGTCCCGTGTCCCTTCCGGCCCTCAGCACCTTCCCAGCACCACGGCCCTCTGTCCCCCGGCCTCTCTCTCAGGCTGGCGTCCAGCGCCTGCCCTGCTGGGCTCCTGTGCCACCTCCGCCCCCCACCCCGCATGCGTCCAGCCCCGCCCTGCCCCACAGGCCCTCGGTCCTCTCTGCAGCCCCATCTCTGCGTTTGCCGAGGCGCAGAGCCCTGCGCTTGTGAAGGGACCCGCAAGCCGCGAGGTGAAACATCGTGGGGCCACGAGACCGTCCGCCCTCAGGCCCACTTCCTGCACGTTCCCCTCCCTCGGGTGACTTCCGTGCCACAGGGACACGTCCCCGCGCTGCAGAGGCACAGAGGGTCAGCCGTGTGTTTCTGTGGTTGGACGGCGAGTGCGCTGTTAGGTGCTGCGTGTCTGAGGGGACCCTGGACGTGCCCACGGCGAGAACGTGCCTTGGCCACCTGGACACGCGGCCTGACTCCTGTCAGGACAGAGCTCGGCTCCACGAGGGGACGTCGGGTTTGTCCTCGGCACCGGTCTGTCTTCACAGAGCGGAGAACACACCGCGGACACCTTCTCGCTCACAAAAGTGGACTCCTGGACGTGTTTCTACGGCAGCAGGCGGAGCTTCGTCGTCAAGTCATTCAAGTCCTTGGAAACCTGAGTGGCAAAGTTACAAACTGGGCTGGAGCGCAGAGCGTTCAGAAGACCGCGCAGCGGAGCGCCTGGCCTGCTCGCTCGGATGTGCCCCCGGAACCACCGCTCGCACGAGTGTTGGAGACTCGCAGCATCTGCCCATTTAAAGCCAGTTTCCTCTTTCCTTTGAACCAAGGAAGAGCAGTGCCTTTACCTTTTTCACTGAATATTGTGAAAGGGGTTTTCAAGACCATGGCGACCTAGGACACCGATAGAGCCCCGCCTTCTCCCACCAAGCCAGTCACTGAAGACCCCCGGGCCCTCCCGCCGCGTGCCCGTGCCCACGCACACCGCGGCCCACCTGCTGCCATGAGACAGGCCGGGCGGAGCTCTGCCTGTCGTGCTCGGGTCCGTCCTGGAACCGAGCCTGGCCCTCTGTCCCCCTGCCCTGGGCCTGGGCTCTCCCTGTTCCTCGCCCGGCCGTCTGGCCTGGCTTCACGCGAACCCCGTCGGTCCTTTCCAGCTCCCCGCCCTGCGCCCCCAGGCAGGCCCACCGGCCCGCAGGCCGGGACGCCCCCCAGACCCCACACCCCGCAGCCTCCGAGTAGGGCCCCTGAGCTGACGGGCGCGGCTCCGGCCTCCAGAGGGCCAGGCAGCTTTCTCCCCGCTGCTCTGCCCGCCGGGGACTTCGGGGACCCAGAGCTGCCGCAAACCTCCAAGCAAACTTTCCTTCATCTTAGGCCATTTGGGAAGCTGTGGCTGTTGCCCCGAAAAAGGAACCCCAAAGCCTTTAGTCATGACCCTTCATGACTTTCAGCCTAGACATGAGAGCAGGTTCCCGGCACTTGCGGGGAGCCCGCGAGTGCCAGGCGGGCACCCTTCCAAGGTTTCAACAGCCAGAAGCGTCCCGGCCCCTGGGGGTCCGGCTCCAGCGCGGCACGTCCCGTGTGGGAGACAGGCCTGCGGACGGGCCGGCCGCGGGGCAGGGCCGGGAACCGCGAGACCGTGGCAGGCTGCGGCCATACCCGGGCCGTGCCTCCCAGGACGAGGTCAGACCCTGCCTGCACTGAAGGGCGGGCAGAAACGCCGGCGTCCCTTGCTGTTGAATCACGGCGTTGTGTCAAAGGCCACATCTAAGCAAGGAAGTTGGCGGCAGTAACATCAGTAACTTCTTCAAAAGTAAACAACGTGGTAACATGGTCACCTGAGGCCACACAGCTGGGAAGCAGTGGCACTGGGACCCCCACGCACCGCCCTGTGCCCACCCTCTCGCCGCCCCGAGGGCGCCACCGAAGAGGGGCCTGTGCGTGGGGGCCGCTGGGCTCCCGTGGGCGCCCTACCCCCCGGCGCACGTGCCCCCCCACTGTCCGTGCGTCCGCGCAGCCGTCCTCTGCGTCCACCCGAGAGCCACTGGGTGACGCATCACAGCTCCCTGTCACGTGCCCACGCTCAGGGAGCCGCTGCCGTGTGTCTCCCGAGGAGGAGGAGTGGCATGGTGCCCGCGGTGAGCCCGGGGATGTGCCGGGAAGGGGCCACCGCCCTCCTCTGTATGTGGGACTCCGGCCTCCACACCCACGCGGCGTCCCCTGCCGCCCCCCTGCCCGCCCTCCCCGCTGAGGAAACGGTGCCTGTGGCCACCTGGAGGCACCCGCGTGCTGAAGCGTGGCGCCTGCGGCCCGGCCGTTGGCGAGGAGCATCAACCGCAGGAAGCTCCCCGGAGCCCCGGGACTGCTCGCGCCTGTTTCCTTCAGCTGTGCTGGGCGGCCCCCCAGGGACGGAGGGGGCTCGAGCCCCAGGAGGCTCTGTTCTGTGTCCGACCTAAAGGGGGCAGGGGGCAGGGGACGGTGTGTGGTCTGCGTGGATCCTTCGCCGGCACATTTGCAGGCATGTTTCCCCCGCTAGAGCCCAGGTGGGCGCGGAGCTGGAGGTCTGGCCACGGGCCGCGCGATTTGTCGCCCTGAGAATAGGTGTGCGCCTCCCTCGCGCCCAGGAAGCGCCCGAGCTGGTGCTGAGAGCGCGCGGACCAGCAGGCCAGGAAGGGGGCAGGTTCCGCTGGCTGTGGGACCCCTCAGCCTGCAGGGGCAGCAGGTGCCATTCAGGCCTGGCCCCCACCTGGCCATGGCGTCTCCACACTCACCCCGGGACACAGCAGCCGCCAGCACCCCCGAACGGTGGCCGAGCCTGTGACGGCCGTATGCGGCAGGGACAGAGCCGCTGGAGGGGCTTTGAGTACGCTCTCTGGGGCGTACTTTTCACGTTGCAGCCTCGGAGGGAGGCTGTGCTTGTGTGAGCTGCGGGCGGGCGGGCGGGAGCACACGGACAGGCGCCCAAGTGAGCGCGCAGAAGCCCGCCCCCGGGCAGTGCAGGGGGACGCGTGCCCTGCCCACACGAGCCTCCGTGCGGGCCAACGCCCGAGGTGGACGTGACTCCCAGCCCGCACCCGCCTCCCCCAGGTTTGGGTCCAGCCCCACTCGGTCTGAACAGCCACGTCCCCGGGAACCTTCTGGCATTCGGCGCCCAGAAGGGGCTTCGCAGCGACAGGCCATGGGGCATGGCTCACTGGAAACCCCGACCTTTTTGCCGTGGAGCAAGCCTTTGCCTTCCAGAGGCCTCGGCTTCCCCCGGGGGGAAGGGGCAGCGCCGCAGGGCTGTGTCCCACCCGAGCCCGTGCGCCTTGGGACCGGGGCCAGCTCGGCTTCCGCCCGGGCTCGCCCAGGATGAGCGCGGGCTCCTCCCCCTCGGCCCCCACCTTGCCGCCAGGATGGCCTCCCACTCCCTGCTCCCGGACCCCAGCCCCACGGCCCCTCTGGCCCGCGCAGTCCCCGTACCCAACCCTGCTCGGCTGCCTGCCTGCTGCTCCTCCCCCCGGTGTTCTCTCTGCCTCAGCACAGGCTCCGGTGTCCCCCTGCCTCCGTGTCCTGGGTCCTTGCTGCTCTGCTGACCTGCTCTCCACCCTTCAGAGCTCCGTCTGACCTTGGGTCAGGCCTTCCTGTCCCTCAGCCTCAGTCCCACAGCTGATGGATCTCCCTCGAGGCGTGGGAGCGGATCTGGCGTGGTGGCCAGACAAGCGTGCGTGAGGTCCTCGCCCTCAGTGGCTGGGCCTCACTGTCCCCTCGGAAACCCGGGGTGATGCCTACGTCTGGGGCTGGGGGTCAGGTGGCCTTGAGCAGCCTGCGCAGGGCCGGAGCACGCTCTCTCCTTCCCATTGGTCCACACGGGCCCGTCACATGGGTGCGTGCGTGTGCACCCAGGCCCCGGCCCACCGGCCTGGGCATCAGACACATACACATGGTCCTGCATGGAGGACACTAAGGAAGTGTCGCTGGGTGTCCTGGGGTCTCAGGTCACACCGCACACCCCCCTGTGACAGTCTGGTAGTTAGGGACGGCTCAGCCCGTGGCATGTGAGTGGAAGGCTGAGCCCAGAGCCTGGAGACGCCGGGGTGTGGAGTAAGGTGTGGGCGCCCCCCCAGCGTGACCCCCTCACGCAGGGCACGGTGGCTCCCGGAAATCCCGACGGACGCGGTCGCGCCCGGGAGCCCAGGGCTCGCCCGGCAGCCCAGCATTTGGCTGCGAGCCCTGCCCTCTCCTGACTCGCACGTGCTCCTGGAACGTCCTCCTGAACCGGCTCCTGCTTCTCCCCGCAGGCGTTTCCTTTAACAGCGTCTACACGCAGATCTGGAGGGTCCTGCTGCACCTTGCCGCCGACCCCTACCCCGACGTGTCCGACCTGGCCATGAAGGTGCTCAACAGCATTGCCTACAAGGTACGTGTGCCGCTGCGCCCCGGGCCCCTGTCCAGCCTCGAGGGTCCAGCAGGGCATCCGGGCCCGGCCAGGTCAGCCCCTCAGCTCAGGCGCGTCCGCCGTGCACCCGGCACGTCCCTGCTGCTGCCTCCCGGGCCGGGGCTCCGGGCGGCGATGGACCAGCCCGCGAGGCCTGCTGCCCTCGCCCGCGATCTCCTGGCCGAAGGGAGCTCAGAAGGGCCGCCTCGGAGGCTCAGCCTCCATTTTCCTTTCCTTGTTCCTCGCTCTCCATCCGGGTGGCGCCGCCGTTCTCTCTCCTCCCTCCTGCCGCTCTGGGCGCCGCTGCTCTCCTGGCGCGTTTCCTGCGGTGGAGGCTCAGGCCCGGCTCGGGTCGCTCTTCCCTGGGGACCGTGCGCCCCGCTGGCCCCCTCGTGAGCCCTGGGCGTCGCGGGGCCTTCCTTCCCGGGGCCCCGCCCAGCGGCACCGGACGCTTGTCGGGGCTCCAGAGTGAGCGTGGCCACTGAAGGAGTCAAGCGTGAACGTGAAGGAAATTCTCGTCTTCAATTTAGTTTCAAAACACATTGTACTTTGTCCTCTAAGTGACTAATGAGGGGATTTTATTTCACTGTACAGAAAAATAGGCTTGTTTGAGATGTTTAACTCTGAAGCCAAATTTGTGCTCAGTGTGGTCGGATCAGCCTCGGCCCCGTTTGATTCGGGGTCCCCACACAGACACTGTGACCAGCTGGGCGGCCCAGGAGCCGTGGCCTCGTCCCATGCAGTCGAGCCCCCGTCCGTGGGCGTGGGGGAAGGAAAAGGAGCCTGTGCAGACCCTCAGGAGCCGGTGTCGGCCCCGCCCCGCATCGTCCGTGGTCTGGGGTCACGCCGAGAAAGAAACGCCCCACTGCGCGTGTTCAGACGCCGGCACGCACGGGGACGGTCGCCCAGCTCCCACCTTCGTGAGAAGATGTGTAAAGGTGTCCGCTCACCTAGAACGGGACCTCGAGCTCAAACAAAGCGTCAGTGCGGGACGAGGACTCCCCGGGACGTGGGGCCCAGTTTCTCTAGGCCCCCGGCCCCAGGGAGCCGGCTCCTGGGGTGCAGCATTCCGGGCTCAAGGTCGCCCCGGACCGTCCTGGGGAACCACCTTCTCCCCCGTGAACCCAGACCCTTCATCAATTCACGGGGACCTTTTCCGAGCACCTCAGTCCCCCTGAGAGAGAGCAGCCACCAGCCTGCGGCCCAGGTCCCGCTGGACCCGCCGACCACGCGGCTCCGGTGTTTCCTCTGCTCTGGGTCAGACTCCCCTGCGTCCTGTGAGGCGACACAGGCTGGTCAAAGGGCCAGAGGGTGCAGAAAGCACTGGGGGGGGCTGGAGGCAGATGGGGGTCCCCCTGCAGCCCAGGCTCCGGTGCCAGACCCCCCCCGAAGACCGAGTCCCCGGCGCCCCTCGCCGGTCACCCTGGAGCCCCCTTGAACGGGGCAGGCGGCAGGGGCCCCAGGAGGCAGCAGAGGGGGGAGGGTCCCCGGGGAAGTGGGGCTCCCGAGTCACCGCCCCAGCGGGAGCCTGCACGCAGCCGGCACTTCAAGGCCTCATGCGCTGTCCATGACTCCCTGCCGCCCCCACGGTCCCAAAAGCCTCACTGTCACCATCAGGGAGCCTCAAGGAGACTCACTTGCTCAGTTGCTCAGCTTGGACTTCTTTGCTCTCCTTGGACGTATGGAACGATTCTGCCCTTAGGTTCTGGGTGTTTGCATGTGCCTCAGCGTATGCCTGTGTGTGTGCCTGTGTGCACACATCTGTGTACACGTGACCTGTGTGTGTCTGTGTGCATTCGCATGTCTGTGTCGGTGCACGGCACATGTGTAGGGCTGGCTGAGTAACTGAAATACCAGGGTAAAAGTAAGTGCACAAACTGTAACTTTGTAACTCAGACAAGGAAAGCATTTCTTACCTTGATTGCAGCTCTGTGCTGCTGGTCTCGCCTATAGCGAGGGATCGTCTGGGGGTCGTGGGTGAGATATGGAGAGATGTGTGGCCGCGCGGTGTTCGTGCCTTTCCATCTGTCGGCTGAACGCAGGTGCCAAGGCCACCGTCCCGGGTGTGCAGGTCCAGAGCTGCCAGGGCCCACCCGGCTGTCCCGTGTCCCCTGAGAGGGTGACGAGGCGAGCCCCTCGTCTGCGGAAAGCCTCCTTGTCACCGTCACTTCCGACTGTCCCCAAGTCCCCTGGGGAAAGGAAGGCGGCCGCCTGCGTCCTGAGCACCGGGACACCGAGGGTGCAGGTCCTCCCGGGCGTGAAACGTCAGGCCTGCAGCTGGCGCTTGCGGTCCTGATGCGCCCGCTGCCCAGAGCTCTCCCCGACTCCCCGGGGCCTGTCCTCCTTGGCCCCGGTGGCTCCTGGGGACAGCCTGGGGCCACAGAGCACCCAGGCGAACTGTGGCTAAAAACGCAAAACGATATCATTTTGCCGGCACGGTGACTTTGGGGGACGTTTCCAGCTGGACCTTCATCGACGACGAGGTCCCCTCGGCCACAGGGCCTTTTCGTGCTGGAGCCACTTGAAGGCGCCCAGCCCGCGCCTCTGTCCGGTTGCTGACCATCCACGTCACGGTTCCTCTGCTCTCGCAGGCCACCATGAACGCCCGGCCGCAGCGCATCCTCAGCACGTCCTCGCTCACCCAGTCGGCGCCTGCCAGCCCCACCAACAAGGGCATCCACATCCAGCAGGCGGGGTGAGTGGCCTTGGCCTCCTGCAGCTGCGTCCCAGCCCCACTCGCGGTCCCCGGGCCATAGCCTGGGGCGGCTGGGGGATGCGGGCATCTGGCGTCCGGGTGGTGGGCTCAGGGTGACGCCGCGTGCCTTCTCCCCAACGGCAGGGGCTCCCCTCCGACGTCCAGTGCAAGCAGCTCCAGCCCGACCAGCGACGTGGCCAAGCAGCCGGTCAGCCGGGAGCTGCCTGCGGGCCGGCCGGGCGCCGCCGGGCCCGCGGGCGTGCAATACACACCCCACTCCCACCAGTTCCCCCGCACACGGAAGATGTTCGACAAGGGCCCGGACCAGGTACACGCCCTCGCGCGCCACGCCGTGGGCTCGCAACTCGAGCCCCAGCGTGCGGGTGCTCGTGGGCCCGTCGTGGGGGGCTGCTCTTGGCCGCGTCCATGAGACGAGACGAGACGAGACGAGGCCAAGCCACCGGCCTGCCTTCCCTTTGTGGGAAGCGCCTTGCGCCTCCGTTCAACTCCGCAGGTGCCCCACGGGGGAGGGCCCAGTCTCTGCGTTTGGGGGGACAGCGCGCCTAACGGGGTGGCCACCCAGGCAGGGCCCTCGGGGTCTCAGCCACAGATGTGCAGGCTGCGTGGGTTGTCAGGCTGCTGTGGAGCAGCCTGCAGGGCGGCCTTGGAGCAAGAAGGGCACGATGGTGACGACAGTACCACGCCCTGCCCGCCCCACGGCCGTGGGGCAGAGGGAGACGCGTGCGCCCAGCGCGCAGTCCAGACTCTCGGGCTAGACCCGGACACGGTGCAGCTGGAGCCCCTGCCGGCCCCCAGGGGACGCGGTTCCCTGCGTACGGACTCGGGCGGCCCTCCCGATGCCGCCTCCTGGAGCCCCGTCCACACACTCGGGTCCCAGGGTCCCCCGGGGCCCACCTCTGCCTTCCGTCTGCAGCCAGAGCTGCTCCGTGCGCACAGAACGGCAGGGCGGCCTGTCTAACTGTTTCTCCCCTCTCTCCTCTCCCCTCTCCCCTCTCCGCACGCCCGGAAGACCGCCGACGACCCGGACGACGCGGCCGGACACCGGAGCTTCATCTCGGCCACGATGCAGACGGGCTTCTGCGACTGGAGCGCCCGGTACTTCGCCCAGCCCGTGATGAAGGTACCGCACCCTTGCCCTGGCCACGCCCGGGCCACACTTGGCTCCCTCCGAGCCTCCCCCTGGGGCTCCAGGACCTCAGCTCCGAGCTGGTGGCCGGCGCCCGCTGGCCCGGGCCCTGGGCCCTGACCTGAGGCCAGAGGAAGGTGGCCAAAGGTGCTGCTGCGCCAGCCACCAGCACTGTCCCTCTGGGACCCCGTCCCACTGCCTCTTCGACCATTGGAGGGTGACCCCAGATTGCTGTTGTGATAGCTGGTGGTCACAGTTTAAAAAAACAGCCAAAGAAACGGACTTCATTTACCTTCCTGTGTGTCTGCCCCAAAAAGAGAGAGAGGGAGAAGGGGAGACGGCCATTTCTGAGCTTGCCCGTGTGAGATGCCCCATTTCATCTCGACTGGCAGGGCCACCCCAGGCTCCTCGGCCTCCAGGCGAGGACCACTCGCGGCCTGTCCCCAGGCCTTGGCAGGGCGGCTCTGCGCTTTGAGGCTAAGCTCGCTGACTTTCATAAAGACCAATCCTCAGGGGCTGATTCTGGCGCATTTGGCTCATCCCATGAGACCACCGCTCAGGTTAAACTCTGCCATAGTCAGGGCGTGAGGCGTTCCTGCCGCTGCAGAGGGGAGCCGCCCACGGGGTGACGGGGTGACCCCTTCGGAGCGGAGCCTGGGGCCGTCATCCCCGGGAGCTGTCAGAGCCGTCTGCAGACTCTCCCGGCCTCGGGCTCCTTCCCAGGAAGCCTCGCCCCTGCTTTCTCCTCTCCCGAGGGGCCCTGGTGTTCATCGGTCAGGACACGGGGTGCTCACCGCCACGCCTGCCTCGCAGGCAGTTAGCTCTGACCTGCTCAGCCCAGGGAGGACGAGCAGCAGGAGAGCCCGCTCCCCTTCCCCGCGACCGACTTCCCCAGGCGCGGCCTGGCTGCGAGCACCAGCGCCTTGCACAGCCTCGCCCCCGGCCCGGCCACAGCGGCTGGGATGGTAACTTCGGGAGTGACCGAGTTAGGGCGATCTGTGTGCGTTACAGGGCGGCGCAGTGGGGACCCGCTCAGTGTCCCACCGCGGGAGGAAGGCTGCAGGTCCTGAAGTACTTGATACGTGGTTATCAGAGCCGCTTAAAAATTCAGCTCAAAAATTAACGCAAGGCCATGCTTCTGGCAAAATTCTTAAAAAGAGAGGCAAGCAAGACCCAGGCCGTGTACAGAGTGGACACAGTGCAAGGTCTTCGGGGTACCTGGTCCTCGGGGTTTGAGAGACTGGGAACAGTCTCGTGTGCCTGCGGCTTCGGGTGACGCTCCGGGTGTTGTGACTGAACGCGAAGCTCCGCTGTGGTCAGTTTGTAATTCCGCGCGGCGGCTGCAACGCGGCGGGCCGTGACAGCTCCGGCGCCTTTTCTTTTACACAATTAGAGACCTATTCCAAACACGCATTTTATCTCGTTATTTAAAAAAAAAAATTCCTTTTTCCAGGTGGTGTTCGCATGATGTTCTTTTAATTTAATCAACCACCTAATGACGTGTCTGTGGAATTAAACGCACTGGGAACTCTGCTATTAGCCTGTGTTATGTGGAACCTGAACAGGCTCAAGGCCGGGGTCCGCCTCCACGACGGCCCCGCCCCAAACGGCCCCACAGGACGGCGGTGGGGGGAGCGCTCGGCAGCAGGAACGGCGCCCAGTGCTGCCGTCACGTGGGGCCCCTGGCGGCCAGCCCCGGCGCACCCCAAGGCCTGCTGGGAAGGGGCGTTTTGCTGGGCGCCCTTGGATGGAGGAAACAGCCTTCTCTCTCCCCCTTGGGGGTCCCTGAGCACTCGTCTGCTTTAGAAAGAGTGTTAAAAGCGGTCTGTCCTGTGCTTCAAAAAGGGACGCTTGGAATTTGTTCTGATTACCAAAGGAGGAGGACGTCCCAGTCTCCGGTCGGCAGGTCCTGTTGATTTTGTGCAGAGGGGGCTTCCCAGGGTGCAGGAGATGGGCACTCGCGGGTCCTGCTGGGAGGCAGGGAGGGGCCCCCGCGGCCGGGGCTCCTCGGTCACAGGTTTCAAAGTTATAAACGGGTGTCCCCTAATCGCGCCAGGCCCACTCCACAGATGCCCACTCCGGCGAGTCACTCCGGCGAGTAACAGCAAGACACAGACACCAGAGCGAGGGCGTTCACCAGGAGGGGCCCGGACCAGGGACGACGCCCCTCCATGGTGGGACTCTGCTCGGCCACCGCGGTCGTGAGCACCGCCCGGTGCGGGCACGGCTGGGTCTCCTCGGTGCCAGGTCCGCGTCAGCCCTGCGCTGCCGGCTGCAGAGGCATCGGCGGAGCCTGGATGGTCCCACCGAGCTGTTCGCACAGTCCTTTCCGGAAGATGAGGCTGCAGTGAGGGAGGTGGACTGTCCCTCTGACGTGATAGGCTTCTGGGTTGTTTCTAGGTTAAACACGTGACTGGATGTGTCAACAGACTAGAGAAAACCCCAGGTTCATCTCAGCGGCAGGCCAAGGACTGGACAGGATTCAACAGCCGTCCATGAGGAAGAGGCTCGGCAACGTGGGGACAGACGGACACTCACCTCGCGCCAGCCGCTGACTTCTCCTTGGGATGGGACAGAGGTTTCCCAGGACCAGGGATGAGGCCAGGATGCCTGAGGTGTCCATTCCTGGCCCCATCCTGCCGTCCGTCCCGGGCAGGGCAGGGGCAAGAAGGCGGCGGGCGCAGGTGGAGACCGCCTGGCCGTGCGGACGGGGATCCCGATGGCCGGCACGACACGGCTGGAGTGAGTGGGCCTCGTGCGACTGCGGGATGCAGGGTCGTTGCACAAAAACCCATTGTGTTTCTGTGTGCAATTAAACCGTTCACGGTAGCACCAAAAAAAAAAAAAAAAAAAAAAGGCCGCACAATAATTCATATGTAAACCAAAAAGAAAACGCGTGCAAGATCCCAATTCGGAAAAATACAGAACACCGATAAGAGAAATCAGAAAAGACCTAGATCAATGGAGACCATGTTTGTGGGTTGAAAGACTCAACAGTGTTTTTCCTCAATTGATTTGTAAATCAATACAGTCTCTCCATCCAAGTCCCAATAGGTTTTTTTAACATCGACAAGCCAATTCTAAAACGTATGGAGAAAACAAAGAAACCAAAACGGGTTTGAACCAGGACCCAGCAGGAGCACTGGTCCTCTCCTCTGGAGACGCGCGGCGAAGCTGACGCGACCAGGGCCCGGGCGGCAGGGCCTGCTGGTCGCAGGACGGAGCGGCGCGGCCCATCGAGTCTCAGCCACGGTGCAGACAGCCCCCAGCCCAGTGGAGGAAGGAGCCTTTCCACACGTGGTCCCTTTGCCAGAACGGTGGCCGTCCGTCCGGCCCTCGCACCCCCTGCAGGAGCTGAGTCCCGGTGGGTCACAGCCCGGAATGTGAGGCCTTCAGCCGTGAAACTTCTAGAAGAAACTCTTTCTGGCCTGGCATTAGGTGATGGTTTCTTAATAAGACACAAAAAGCACAAACCCTACGAGGGGAAAACGATGAACTGCCCAAGCGACACACACTGTTAAGAAAAGGGAAACGGGAGCCACAGTCTGAAGGCACAGTTGTGAAGCACGTGTCTAAAGTGAGCCGCCCTGAGGGACCTGCGGCGACCCGGGTCCCACTGCTCGGCTGTCACAGCGGCCGACGCCGTCAGCTCTGCCAGCCCCATGCGCTGGCAAAGCTGCGAAGCAGCGGGAACTCAGACGTCGCAGCGCAGATGCTCGTGTCACAGACGCTGGAAACGCCCCTCTGCCCCGGGCGTCCCCCCCAGAGAAGCGAAAACTTGCGTTCACCCAGGAACCCGGGACTGCGTCCAGTGGCTTTATTTGTGATCAGTGAAAACCAGGAACCGCCCGACGTCCCCCACCCGGCGAGTAGACCGTGATAGGGCCGCAAAACGCAAGGCGGAGCCGAGCGGCAGGACAGGAAACGGGCAGCCGGTGCCGGCAGGGCAGACGTGGGGCACCGAGCGCGGGGGACGCCCCGCTCCTCTCTCCACGGCGGCGGCGGTTGTGTGACGAAGCTCTGCTCAAACTCAGAACCCGCCCCGAAAGGGAGAGGTTTCCTGCGTGTGAATTCCACGTCATTGACGCCCCGTGGAGAGGCGGGTAGGAGTGAAAGCCCAGGACGGGTGGACTCCGCCCTTCAGAGCTTCCTCCGTGGTGGCCGCCCTGCTGTGACTGGAAGGGCGGGGGCAGCTGCCACAGGGAGTGGGAGGGGGAACCTCCGTCCGTCACAGCGGGCCCCCGCCGCCCACAGGAGGCGCCGTGGAGGGGGCGGGCTGTTGTTAAACAAATGGGGGGGTAGGAAACCGAGGCGAGGCAAACGCAGCACGTGTCAGGCGTGAGACCAGGCTTCGCCCGCCGCTCCGGTCCACGTCCCCTCTGTTGCCGCCCTTTCCGCATCCTGAGGGTCCCAGACTTGCTGTGAGTTCTGTCCGAGCACCTTCACCTGCCTCTTCCAGGGACGTGGCAAGTCTGGCTCCGCCCCGTGCCACGGGGGCGCCGCCCCCCGAGGCCCCCTGGGCTCTCGGCGCCCGTCTCTGTGGGAGGCACACGATCGTAACAGGTTTCCCTCTGAGCAGAGCCGGGCGGAGTCAGGAGCGCAGCGTACTGTGCCCCTGGTCTCGTCACTCTGCCACCGGTCTCCTGTGCGCAGGCCCCGGAAGTGAGGTTCGGGGGCGTTTTTGCTTTGTAATCAAAGATGAGTCGGGGTTGCCCAAGGTGCCGGGCCACGTGTGACTAAGGAAACCTGTCCTCATCATTCAAATAAGTGGCCGCACTCGGGGCCCATGGACCTCAGCTCCGGCGAGGTGCGGCTCGCTCTCCCACACGGCTCTCGCACGCCTGGCTATAGCCCCCGCCCACGAACACGCACACAGCTGGGCAGGCAGGGCCCTTGTGCGAGGAGCGGCCGGCAGGGCGGTTGGCCTGCTTCCCCGTTCCCGGAGGAGGTGCGCCGAGGCCCCTCGGGGCAGCAGGCGCCGGTGAACCCGCCCGGGCTGCAGCTCAGCTCCTCCGGATGCACCGGCGGCGGGCGGGCGGGGGCGGGGGGCAGCACCAGCTCCAGAAGGGCCAGCCCACCCCCGGCTGCCATGGGGCAACCCTGCCCCGGCCACCACCCCCATCACTTCTGACCCAGTGCCCAGCTCCCTTTGGCATCAGAGAAGGAACAAAGGCAAGACGTGCGAACGCCGTCCCCGTCTCCCGCTGACTTGGCCTTGGAACGTGTGAAGCATCTGTCAGCCCTTGCCGGCTCAGCCAGCCGAGGTCTGGCCTCTGGCCCGTCCTGCAGAAAACATACCCGGGCCCTGGCCCCTGGCCCTCGCTTCTCAAAGCTTCGTGTTCACTCTCCAAGCAGCGCTTCCCTTTGCTCCCGGTCGGATCTTGGCCGCTGCCCCCACTTCCCTGCTGGGCCCGGGGGGCGGGTCCTCCATCTGCTCCCCACTGGTCCCGGCCTCAGAGCCCCCCACCAGGCAGGAGCGGCCCCCGGGCGCAGGCGGAGCGGGGCCCCCTCCGAGTCTGAGGCTGGCGGCCGAGCCAGGCATCCCGTGTGCCGCAGACGCTCAGGGACGCCTCTGTGGGAGCCCTCCGCTGGGTGGCGGGTGCCCTGGCCGGACCAAGGACCCAGGTCCTCGGCCTGTGGGGAGGAGGGGCCTTTTTTCTGGCAAATAACAGCTTCCGAGCTGCCGAGCCTCACGTTGGGCCTGGTGCTTGCAGATCCCGGAGGAGCACGACATGGAGAGTCAGGTCCGCAAGGAGCGGGAGTGGCGGTTCCTGCGCAACAGCCGTGTCCGAAAGCAGGCGCAGCAGCTCATCCAGAAAGGTGAGGGGCGGGGGGCGCAGGCGCGGGCGTGGGGGCGGGGCCTGGGCCTGGTGGCCTGTGGGCCGAGACCCAGGGCGCGTCCCTCTGCGCAGGCATCACGAGGCTGGACGACCAGATCTTCCTGAACAGGAACCCCGGGGTCCCCTCCGTGGTCAAGTTCCACCCCTTCACCCCGTGCGTGGCCGTCGCTGACAAAGACAGCATCTGGTGAGCTCGCGCGGACACTGGGCACAGTCAGCCCGGCGGTGTGACGCCCGTGTGACAACTAGAGCGTCCTCCCCGCCGCCTCCGTCCCCTCCTCCCTGCCCCCCCAACCTGGGCTGCTGCTGTGGGAGGGGCTGGAGGGCAGGTGGTGGGAGCCTCCCAGCCCCCACCGCCTGCCACTGTGCACGGGGCGGGGCGCCTGGCCCCGGGAGGAGCCCACGTAGGCGCAGCGCTGCCTCCGCCGAGGCGGGCGGGCGCGCGCGCGCAACGCCCAGTGCCCTGGCCACGAGCTCTGCCCCCGTCGCGGGGCGTTCCCGCCCCCGCCCCCTTCCCTCCTTTGTCCTGTGGCACCGTCTGGCATCAAGCGTGTTCACAATGTGGCAACCGTTGCCTCCGGAACTTGCCCATTTCGGAAAACAGAAACTGTCCCCATTAACCCGTAACTCCAACGCGCCCCCGGCCCCCTGCGCCCTCTGCCGCCCCAGTTTCCTCCCGCAGTGGGGTCACCGGGGTCCCTGGCTGACCTCCCCCGCCTGGTGTCCGCAGGCCCACCCACACTGCAGCCCCGGCGGCTCCTTTTCAGGGCCGAGTGATACTTTGTTGCATAAACAGACCCCTTTCATTTATGCATTTCCCCATCCAGGGGCACTTGGGTGGTTTCCACCTTTTTAAAAACACATTAATATGATGAGGTTTTATTTTTTAGGTCTTTCAAAATATGTTCACTTTTAGCACAACCTAAAGGAAGGCAAAACATAAAATAGACAAAGTCAACTTGGGGTTGATTTTGTGAGAGGAAGCGAGGTCAACAAACCCGGGGGAGGCACCTCTGACCCCCGGCCGCCCGCACGCGCACGTGTGAACAGCCCCCTTTAACGTTGGTTCTGTAGACGTTCATTTATCTTCACTAATCATTAATATTATGACAGCGGTAACAGCAAGAGACACCAACAGTCCCGAGTTTAGCCGCCCATCCTGCCAGGCACAGGGCTCCGTCCTTTCTGCTCATACCTACGTCGTTGCCACCCTGGGTCGCGCAGCCAGTCTGGGCGGGGAGTGACTCTCAGGAGCCTGGGTGCCGCTGTCCATGCTCCGGGGCTCCCGTTTCTCCACGTCCTCCGTCGCGTGTTGTCTGCTTCGCTGGTGGAGGCTGTCCTGGGGGCGTGGGGGGCCCCCTGGGGTTCATAGCCTGTTCTCTCCTGTTGCCCCAAGTTTCTGGGACTGGGAGAAGGGGGAGAAGCTGGACTACTTCCACAACGGGAACCCCCGCTACACCCGGGTCACCGCCATGGAGTACCTGAACGGCCAGGACTGCTCGCTGCTGCTCACGGCCACCGGTGAGTGGGCCCCGGGCACGCGCAGCCCTGAGTCCCCGCGGCCCTGCCGCCCCTGCAGGCTGCTGTCGCGAAGTGGCGGGGGCGCGGCGGGGGAAGGGCCTCTCTCACCCGGAGCTGGGGAAGCACGGTGACCCGTGCCGGCCGGTGTCCCCGGGGACTGTGTGCTCCCCTGGGACCCGGCTCTTCCCAGGCCAGGAGAGGCACCTGTGGCTTTTGTCCCTGCGGCCCCCGCAACACCCGCGGGGAGAGGGAGGGAGGCAGGCCCCACTGTGACACGGCCGGGGTCCCCAGCCGCCCCTTCAGGCCAGGTCCCCTCTTCCTGACGGCCACCTCCCCATCGGTCCTATCCTGCCCTCCCCGGGCTGCTCTGTCCTGCCCTGTCCCGGCTTCCGAGCCACTGAGACAGTTGGTCTGGTCACGCTAACCACATGCTCTTTCTCTCCTTTCAAACTGCTCCTGGGCCACCCCCCCCTCCCCAGGAAGGGCATACCATGGTGGGGGCGGGTCCTGCTGGCAGCCCTTGTCCCAGGAGAGGCCAGGAAGCGCCCCAAAGCCAGTCCCCGTCAGCTGCAGGCAGCACTCCAGGCCATACGGGCGGCCAGCCAGCTCGTGGAGGCTTGGGGCAGGTCACGCCAGCACCTCTGGGCACCAGGCACAGGGGAGAGGGTGGTCCGGCTGCAGCAGGCCCAGGAGAGGGACCGAGGGTCCTTCCCGTGGGGTCCCAGGGGAGAAGCAACATGCACGCCCCAGAGCGGGGCAGGTTCGCTGTCACGAAGCTGGGGGGCAGGGAGACCGGGTGGAGGTCGGCGGCCCCCCGCAGCGAGCGTTTCCGGGCGTGTCTCCCAGCTGGCCTCGTCCTCCTGCACCGTCCAAGGTGGCCGTCCTGCGGCGGGGCCGCCGTGGGGCTGGGCCAGGCTGTGTGCGGGGCCAGGAGGGGGGCAGGCCACGGCGGAGCGGGGGCACCTCCCCGCCGTCTGCCAGAGGATGCAGGGCCACACGCCCTGCACCCAGTGCGGCTCCTGCGTGTGCAGGGCGGACAGGAAGCGGGGGGCAGCCGAGACTTCATCCCTCGGTGCGTGCGGCTCTCCCCTCACGAGCCGGCCCCGCGGCAAGAGCAGGACACGCGGGGCCAGCCTGGCCCCAGCTCGGCCAGCCCCGTGGGGAGTCTGCGGGCCGCACCCCTGCGGCGCCCCGCACCGGGAGCCCGGCCTGCACTCTGACCACCTTCTCTTCTCTCCCCAAGACGACGGCGCCATCAGGGTCTGGAAGAATTTCGCCGATTTGGAAAAGAACCCAGAAATGGTGACCGCTTGGCAGGGGCTCTCGGACATGCTGCCCACGACCCGAGGTGCGTCCTCCCCGGGGCTGGGAAGGCCCCAGGGCTGCAGGGGGGTCTGGGTGGTCCTGCAGTCCCGCCCCCCGCCCCCGGGACGGCTCCGCGGGCCGTGGAGTTCACATCCAATTCTGGAATCGCGACGCAGCTGGCTCCCCCAGGCTCAGGAAAGCACTTCTTTCTCCCTGGGACACAGGCTGCGTGGGGTGGCCATCTAGCCGACCTCTGACCTGCCTTGGCACGTCACCGGCTGGCGTGCACCTGCCCCACCCCTCGTCCCTGGCTTGAAGGGAGTGTTGCTGGGAAAAGCTCCGTCGCTGGCAGAGCGGGGGACCTGTGTTCTGTGCTGTTTGCACCCAGATTGATCCCTCTGTGGGCCACATCCTGTGCCTGGGCGGTGGAGGCCGCGTGCGGGTGCCTGGCGGCCCCGGGCTGACACGTGGTGGCGGAGCTGAGCGGCTGCAGGGGACGGGCCGGGGGGGGTGGGCACGGCCGAGCTCGCAGCCCCACCCTTCTGGAGCCAGGGCAGGGGTCCCCAGAGCCCCTGGTCCCAGCCCACGGGCTCGCCGGTCCCCACAGCAGCTCCCACAGACACCAGGGCCAGGCCATCCCTCCCGCCGCCTAGGGCTCCGCAGACAGGCCTTGCTGCCCTGGCTGACGCGCGGGGCGGGCGCCGTCCCCGCAGGACGTTCACCCGGGACCGAGTGGGCAAGGGAGGCTTTCGCTGTGTCTGAAATGCTAGATCTCAAAAGAGGCGCGATGGGGGCAGAGTGTCAGCAGCTGTCCCGCCTGTGGGAGGGCTCGGGGTTCCCATCGCGTTCCGCTCTGCGTTTTTAAACGTGTACAGGCCAGCATTTGAAGTTAAGCCTTATTCTAAATCCAGCCCCCCCTACTGCAGTCGCCGGCTCCCCTGCCCACTCCCCACGTGGGAGAGGCCTCAGCCCCGGCCGCAGAGCCCGGCCCGGCCTCGGGAGGCGGCGGCGGCGGGGCCCCTGCTCGGCCCCGGAGCCACCGCCCAGCCACGGGAACAGCTCCCACCGCCTGCCTGGGGTCTGGACAGAGGCCCTGGGGGCGCGCTGACCCTCCAGCAGATGCTGGGTCCACCAGGGTCCAGGGACGGCTCCGACTTGGGGCCCTGAACCGGATCCCCGGGCCTGGGGGCCCCGGGGGCCCCAGCCGGAGCTCGCATTGGCGGGCCAGCGGCTTGTCTGCCCAGAGCCGGCTCCCGGGGCAGTGCCTGCACTTGTCTGTCTCCCCAGGAGCGGGGATGGTGGTGGACTGGGAGCAGGAGACCGGCCTGCTCATGAGCTCAGGGGACGTGCGCATCATCCGCGTCTGGGACACGGACCGCGAGGTGAAGGTTCAGGTAACTGCTTGGCACCCGGCCCCCGCCACCGTCGACGCTGTCCTCGCGGAAACCCAGCACTGGGGGTCGCTGAGCGGCCGTGACGGTGTCACTGCCCCGGGGGTGGGGGCGCTGGACGAGAGGGGCCTCGGCGCAGGGAGCCGTGTGCGGCCGACCTCGGAGCCCCTGGAAACCAGCTGGCCTGTCTGGACGCAGCGGTGGCTCCGCGACCTGCCCAGCCGTGCCGTTAAACAGTCCTCACCGTTTTCAGATACTGATTTGTCTGTGCAAAACAGGGAAGAGCAGGAAATGGCAGGGCGAGAATATTTTAAATTAGGACGACGCCCTTTTGTTGTCAGTTTTGACAAAGAGCAGGGAGGACAGCCGCTGCCGAGGCTTCTTGGAAAAGCGGGAGCCCAGGCCCCGGGCGCCTGGCAAGGCCACCTCCGCCCTGCTCCCGCCTTCTCAGCCCCCACAGCTGCCGCTCCCCAGCCTGCGGAGCTTCTGCCGGCGCCTGTGCAGAGAAGGCAGGACCTCCCGGGCTGGAAGAGACGCGCCCTCGTGTGGGCTGTGGTTCCCTGCCTGCGTGCTCCTGCCTCTCGCCCCATTCACAGCCGCCAGGAGGCGTAGCAGGGAGGCGGCTCCTGAGCTCAGAGCCCCTGCTGCCAGGGTGTCCAAACTTTGGGCGTCTCTGGGCCACACTGAGAGATGAAGGGTTGTCCTGGGCCACACATTAAACACATTGCAACACATAATCACAAAATAATGTCATGTTTTAAGTGAATATACGACTTTGTGTTGGGCCGCGTTCACAGCTGCTCAAAGTGCTTCCTTCTTTGTAGGAAAGAGGGAGATGCCAAAAAGTTTAATAGGCACCAAAGCCGGTTGTTAGCAGGCGTGTTTGCCAGCAGCAGCCCTGGGGGCCAGATCTCGGGCACTGTCCTCCTGGCCTGCCATTCAGGCGCCCGCTGGGCCCGACTCCACCCCCGGTGGCCCCCGCGGGTCCCTCGGCCTCCTCAGGCCTTTGCGGCTTCCCTGGCAGACGGAAGGCACGGGTCCTGGCCCGGGCGGCAGGCAGCCCGGCACCCGCGGGGGCCCAGCACCGCAGGGCCTCACCGGCTCTCTGCTCCGCCCCAGGACATCCCCACGGGCGCCGACAGCTGTGTGACGAGCCTGTCCTGCGACTCCCAGCGGTCCCTCATCGTCGCCGGCCTCGGTGACGGCTCCGTGCGCGTCTACGACAGGAGGATGGCGCTCGGCGAATGGTAACTTGGCCGCGCTGCCCCGCGGGCTCCCTCCAGGCGCCGGGGTCGCGGGTGCGCCGCGCTGCGGGGCCTGGCGGCAGCGCGCTTGCCTCACGGCGGCCCCGCTCCCCGCGAGCCGTGCACGGCGATGCAGGATGCGCGGGGCAGGGGTCTGGCCCAGCGCTGCCTCCCTGAGCCAGTTTCCCCAGTTTCCCGGGCCCGGCCGCCGCCCACCCAGGAAGTGGCATCGGGGAGCACAGGCATGGGCACCAGGCGGGGCGAGCGCTGGAGGGCAGGTGGCCCCACCTTGGGGAGCTGGTGTCCAGCTGTTGGTCACTCACCTGAGGCCACACGGCTGGTACAGCGGCCCCCGCCGGCCCCCGCCCTGGACCCTGACCCGTGCCTCTCTGCGCCCGCAGCCGCGTCATGACGTACCGGGAGCACACGGCCTGGGTGGTGAAGGCCAGCCTGCAGCGGCGCCCCGAGGGCCACATCGTGAGCGTGAGGTAGCTGCACCGTGCGCTTGCAAGGCGTTCCCTGTAAAAACATCACCTCCCCTCCGTTTAAGACGTGTGCTTGGTATTTAACGCCCGGGCGATGGCGGCATTTCAGGGCAGTGATTAACTTCTGCTCCGGGACTGGCCAGAGAGGGCAAGGCCAGCACGCGGGCAGGGACGCACTGGGCGGGAGAGCCTCGCCGCGGGCGCCGGGAGGTCTGCTCAGCGGGGGCGGGGGGAGCGTGTGGGAGGCGCGTGGCTGCGGGGGTCCCTGTGCATGCCACGGTCGTCCGCCCATAAATCCACTGCTGCAGCTGGTAAATCCTGTGTTGAGAGCAGCGAATATTTATTCGCCCATTAAAGGGACAGCAAAGTGTAATTTACAGGCACAGCTGCCATTTTTTCAAAGAGCCGCTCTCTGCCTCGTTTGGGTATAAAACCAGCGTGTCCCTTGGAGCGGCGCCACCAGGGCTGAGGGCAGCGGAGGGGTGGCCTCTGGGGGCGTGTGTGCCCTCCCGGCTGCACAACATCTAATCTCGGGGACAGGAAATGAAACGAGAGTCTCGTCTCCCCACCGCCCCCCACGTGTCGCTGCTCCTGCAGCAGTGGGGTCAGTGGGCGGGCACCCTGAGGTCCGGGGGGCCCCCACACGCCTGGTCCCAGGGTGGCGTGCCCGGCCGCGCGTCACCTGGGCCCCCTCTTGGCAGCGTGAACGGAGACGTGCGCTTCTTCGACCCACGGATGCCGGAGTCCGTGAACACCATGCAGATCGTGAAGGGCCTCACGGCCCTCGACATCCACCCCCAGGCCAACCTGATCGCGTGGTAGGTGGCCGCCCGCCTCCCCCGGGGCCCCTCCTGCCCGACCGTCCCAGCGGGCTGGAGCGGCGGCGCTGGCCTGGCGCTGGCTCGGCGCTGGCTCTCGGGTCCTCGCGGGAGGCCTGGCCCTCCCAGGCCCAGGCAGGTGGGGCTGGGCCGCCCCCCGCCCCCCCGGAGAAGGGCGCTGACGGCCCTCTTGTCCGCCCGCCCACCCCCTGCAGCGGCTCCATGAACCAGTTCACGGCCGTCTACAGCGGCAGCGGGGAGCTCATCAACAGCATCAAGTACTACGACGGCTTCATGGGCCAGCGCGTTGGCGCCATCAGCTGCCTGGCCTTCCACCCGTACTGGGTCTGTGTCCCCACCCGTGGCCGGGAGGCTGGAGGGCCGTGGGAGGCGGGGGCGGGGGGCCCACAGCAGCGAGGGGGTGGGCTGAGCTGGGCTGCCCTGCAGTGCCCGCCCTGGGCCTCCGCCCTCCGGTGTCCAGTGCCGCCCTCACGCCCGAGGCAGCACCAAGCTCCCTGCCACTCGGGGAAGCGTGGCCACGGAGCGCGGGGCATGGAGGCCCCTCGCCACCCCTGGAGAAAGCTCGGGCGAGAGGTCTGGGGAACCGCATGTGCACACACGGCACGGCACGGCGCTGTCCTTGGTGACGCGGTGCACGCGGTCCAGGGCATTTTAGTTTAAATCGGGATTCCACCTGCCTGCCCTCGGGCTGCGTGGACGCCACTGGAGACCGGCAGGCAGCTCTGCCAAAATGAGTGAATCCTTGGGGCAATCCCAGGCGGGGTCCAGGGGCAGGGCAGCCTCTGAGTCCCGGCACCACAGGGGTGACGCGGCTGTGCCGACAGCCGCTGCTGGGGTCCTGGCATCCCCGCGCCTGCCTCCCGGGCAGCGGGGCCAGGAGAGGGTGGGCGGCGTGCGCCCCTCCCTCACGGCTGTCCCCAGGGCCCACCCACCTGCTCACCTGCTCACCTCTCTCCCCTGCAGCCACACCTGGCCGTGGGCAGCAACGACTACTACATGTCCGTGTACTCCGTGGAAAAGCGTGTCAGATAGCGGCGCCTGCCCCGCCAGGCCACGTGTACATAGTGGACCCGCTGCTGCCCGGGGCTCTAGGAGGCCACGCTGTCTGTCTGTCTGTCTGCCTTCGCTGCCGTGCCCCGGAGCCCCAGGAAAGGGCTTTACTTGAGTCCTGGGGTGTGGCGGCTGCTTCTCCGCGGGGACGCAGCTTCCAGGCCAAGGACAAGGCCGCCCTTCGCCCTCGCCTTCCTGTCGTTTTTGTTCTGAGAGTTTTAACGGGAGAAACAAACTCATTTTATTTTCCAAGTGATCTAAGCGGGAGCCCCACAGAGCTCCGAGATGGACGCCAGCGTCTCCCCCCGCCCGCGGGCCCCTGGGCCGCCGCCGCCTGGCCACAGCCTCCCGCCTGTGCGTGCACGGGGCAGTTCCAGGCAGGCAGGAGGGGCTGGGGGTTCAAGACTGAGAGCAGGACATGGAAGAGCCTGCACCCAGCCTCCTGCCCACCCGCTGGGGCCGACGGCAGCCCCCCGTGCGGCTGCCTTCCTGGGGCAGCCTTGGGGCCCAGCGTGGGCCCCCGTCGGCAGGAGGGGCCTGCGCCCTCGGACGGCAAGGCCGATCCCGGTGACTCCGCCACCGCCCAAGGCCTTGGGCTGGTTTCTGGCGAAGGGCCGCTCTTCCCCGCGGGCTCGGTGACAGCCGCCCCGGCCCCTGACCTCCCCCCTGTGCTTGCGCATGCGTCGCACCCACACACGTGTGCGCCCCGGAGGCAGAGCCGGAGCCCCGAGAGCATCGTGGCCGGACGGGGTCCGGGCCGCAGCCACTGCCCCGCTCCCCACTTGGCGGCAACACGGAGGGGCCCTGCGCTGGTCGCTGCAGCGTGTGTCCGCATGTGCGGAGGCATGGCGTGTGCCGGCGAGTGTCCACATGTGTGGTGCATGGCGTGTGTGAATGTGTGCCTGCGTGTGCGGGTGCACGGCATATGCCGACATGTGTGTCTGTGTGTGCGGGTGCACATCTGGGAGCCGTGGCAGCAGCTGAGCCTGGGACCAGCCTGGGAGAACACGCTGAGCAAGCGCAGACACGTGGAGGACAAACCACCACGGTGCCGACACCTGAAAAGCGTTTTCCCACTTTCCTGGGGAATCAGGATGTTCAGAGGAGCGAGGGGGCTTGGCCAGCTCTTCCGACAGGAGGCCAGCGGCAGCAGGGAGCGCCGGATGGAAGTTGCGGTCCCCTCGCGCTGTGGACAAGGGTTCCACCTCAGCCAGGGGCGTCACCACGGGCGGAGCCCTGCTGCGTGGGCCCGGGTGGGGCAGGGCGGGGCGCAGGAGGCGGCCCTGTGTGCTCCCCACGGGAGACGGGCCTGGGACGAAGTTCCCACTCCAGCTCTCTGACCTTCCACTGTGTTCCGGGCAAGAGAGCCACACGGGGCCAGGAAGGCCACAGAGAGTCCCACTCCTCTGCACATGGCACCTGGAAGCTCTGCAAGGCCTCCAGGCGGTGACCCCGGAACCTTCCGGGAGCTGAGCTCCCCCGCGGACGCTGAGAGTGTCCGACCCATGGGGCGGCTCCGCTCCAGGCTCCAGGCTCACGCGCGATTGTTCGTTTTGAGACAAAACCATGACCTGTCCCGGTGAGGCCACTGCCCGCCGTGGTGTGACCGCGGCCGCCATGTGAGGCAGTCTTCACAGGTCCGATGCGGAAATTCAATCATGAAATTGACCCAGGCTCAAGAGCCTGACCTAAAGGTTCGTTTATCTCTATTTATTTTGCCGGAACGACAAAACATGGAATTGTAATGTGAACGTAAGAGCGCTGACTGACAATAAACTGCTAACAGACCCGAGTGCGGAGGCGGCAGCTGGCAGGCTCGTCTTTTACGGACACGGGGCCCCCGCCGTGCGGACACGGGCGGCTCCGCACGGGTCCACGCGGCCCGGGCAGCGGCGTGGGCGCCAAGGGCCATTCTTGCTCCCATCGGCCATCACGCGCCGGGGCCAGGTCCCTGTCCTCAGCAGCGTCCAGCCCTGTGGCTCGGACGCTTGTCCGAGGAAGGGCCCCAAGCTGCGGACCAAACCTGCCCGCGACAGCGCCGCGCCCCCCCCCCCGCCCCCCGCCAACCCCATGTCTGCGAGCCCGGGGCTCCCACACTGCTCACTGGTGTTTGTAAGTGACACACATTCATCACCTCTCAGAACTCAGACACCGGTGTCACTGGGCCAGAGCCGAGGGGCCTGGGGGCCCCCTGCCTTCCGCCTGGAAGCTTGAGGGGCCCACCAACCCCCGTCCCCTCCAGCTCCCAAAGGCACCCCCTTCCCGTGGCTCAGGGGCCTCAAGCCCGTCCCTCCTTGCAGCCAGCGAGCGCACCGTCTCTGACCCCGGCCCTGCCAGGCCCCCTGCGTCGGGCGCGTCCCCTCCCCGCCCTGACGCCCCCACACCGCCGACCCCGCACCGTCTCTGAAAAAGTTCCTCCTTCGGCAATAGGTGGGGCCCGCGAGGCCCTCCAGCACCTGGCGGGTCCTGCTGCCCGCACGGGGACCAGGGTCCCAGTCAGTGCACATCTCGGGGCTGTGGCTTCCTGGAGACGGCCCGGGGACAGGAAATGGGGACTCGGGCACCCTGCCCCCCGGGGGCTGGGCAGCACCCCAGGAAATGTCTGTGCCCACCAGTGAGGAGAGGACCTGGGCACAAGCAAAGGCAGAAAAGGGCTCGAGAGGCACCAGCCAGGGTCCCCGGGAGTGGACATGGGCTGTCCTGGCCTAGGGACAAGGGAAGGGGCAGCCAGTGGCAGGGCAGTGGGGGGACCAGAGAGGGGCTGGGCGGCCCGTGACCAGGGGTGACGGGGAGGGAAGGGCCAGGACTGGGGGCTGAGATGCGCCCCGTCCCTGCGTTTGGTGTGGGCACAGGCCTGGGGTCACAGCCGCCCTCCCGAGCCGCCTGCGGAGCGGCTGCCCCTCGGCAGCCGGGGGCACGGGGGGCCCACTGTGCTCTGGGGCAGGTCCCCCCACCCAGCGTCCGCTGGGAGGTGGGGTGGGGAGCCGTCGTCCTGAACACCCGGGGTCTCGGCGGCTGGAACTCCTGAATTAATGAATTACGTTACGGTTTGTCCTCAACAAGGACACGCGGCAGCCGCCCCACGGCTGCCGGACGCGCTTGAGCGGGAGAGGAACGCTGCTCCTGGTAGCACCAGCTTTTCTCTCACTGGGAACAAATCCACAGCTCCTACAAGTGAAAACTGGACACGTGGCCGGACCTGGCCTCGTGTGCCACCAGCTGGCCCTGTGGCTGGGGAAGGCCCGGGCAGGATGCCACTGCCCACGTGGCTGGGCAGGGAGCTGGGGAAGTGGGGGCGGCGGGGAGGGCGGCGACGGGAGCTCCCGCGGGGCTGGCCTCCCAGGGGTCCTGCTCTGCGAGGCCCCGCCTGTGAGTCGGTCACCTGGCACCACCCCATTCAGCGCCAGGGGCACCCGGTGTCCCATGGGTCAGTGGCATCAGCACAGGGCCCTCTGAGGGGCGTCCGGCAGGCTGCCCTCCTCCCGGGATTCAGCTCCAGGAGGTGCGGAGGCTTCCAGACCCAGGAGCGCGCAGCTCGGCACGCCGGGACCCATTCCTCCTCCGCCCCTCCAGCCCCTGCCCCTTCCGGGGAACAGCCTGCGGCCGGGCGTGCTGTGCGCTGCTGGGACCCGGAGCCGCGGGGACCAGGCCTGCGCCAGGGGGCGGAGGCCCCTTGTGAGCCCGGGTCCGGCAGGCGGCTGGCCTGGAGGGGCGGGCTGGGGCTGTGGGGAAGAGTCCACGTTCCTGTCGTCGGCAGCTCAGGCCAGGGCTCGCGAGCCGCTGGGCGATGGGCCGGAAGCGTCTCCAGCGCGGTCGCCACGGGCTCCGCGGGAAGCGCGTGGTCAGCGGGCAGCCCTGGGGGAGCCCTCCAGCCGCAGCCACGGGCCAGCGTGGGCGAGGCCCCGAGCCCTGGGGCACTGAGGCCGCTTCGCGCGGCACTTGGGGGCGGAACTGCACAGGGGGTCCCAGCTCGGCAGCTCACAGCAGCGGGCGTCGCCCCGTCCGAGGGTCCAGAATCGGACGGCGAGCCGCGGCTCCGGGCAGGGTCTTGCACGGGCTCACCGCCGAGCTCTCAGCCGAGGTGGAGGCCCCATGGCTCCCGCGGAGGGGCCGGGCAGCCCACCTGCCCTGTCCACCGTCAGGGGACCCGCCCTGGCCGGGTGGGGGGGCGGCCCACGCCCGGGCTCCTGCGCCCTCCCCAGGCTCCCGGCCCTGCAGGCGGCCCCATCCCGCGCCCTCCCGGACCCCAGGCCCCGCCCCGCCGTCCAGGCCTCTCCTCCGGCCGCACACGCTCTCGGCCCCACGCTAGCCCCATCCCGGGCAGCACGCCCTGCCCCGCCCGCTCACCACGGTCACTGCCGGGGCCACCGCTGCGGCAGCAGGTCCTCCCTGGCCCTTCTCCCCGGGACCAGCGCTTCCAATCCCGGCTCCACCTCGGGCAGCGACAGACGGCTCCGTGCCTTGGTTTCCCCCATTCTCTCGCAGGCTGCCGCGAGGACCCGGGAGTGGTGCGGACCCCGTGTGTGTGTGTCTGCTGCGACTGCCTGACCTCGCCCGAGCCGGCGGCTCGTCCTCAACGCCCCGCCCCCACAGCAGCCAGCCACCCTCCCCCCCCCCCGCCCTCCCCGGCACCCCCACGCACCCTCGGTCTGCGAGCCACTTTTCTCTATGACCCCTCTCCCCGTGGACAGTGGCCAGAGCCACCTTTACAAATCAAGGTCAGCCTTGGCTGGCTTGACTCCGCGGACTGAGCGCCGGCCTGCGAACCAAAGCGTCGCTGGTTCAATTCCTGGTCAGGGCACAGGCCTGGGTTGCAGGCCAGGTCCCCAGCAGGGGGCGCACAGGAGGCAGTTGACGGGCGTATCTCTCACGCACTTACCTTTCTCTCCCTCTCCTTCTCTCTCCCTTCCCCTCTTTCTAAAAATAAATAAAACCTTTTTTTAAAAATCAAGGTTAGATCAGCCCCTCCCTGGTTCGGGCCAGCAGAGCCCTGTCCCCACACGGCCCCCCCGACCCGGGCTGCCTCTGAGATCAGATGCCACTGCCCCAAGGAAGCCTTTCCTGACTGCTGACCCCCCGTCCCTCCACCCGTCACACCAGCAGGTCACCCTGTGCCCCTGCCACACGCAAACCCATGGCAGCAGGCGCCCAGAGCAGGGCCTGCATGCGGTCGGTGCTGAATGAGCGGCCACGGTGGATGGACGGATGGACAGCTGGACGAGTGAGTAGGTGGGCAGACAACTTTTCCCAGCTGAGGCAGATTCGCGGTAGGTCCTCCTGCCCATATCCAGATCCTGCCCCCACCCAACTGGGTCTTCTCGGACCCACCTTCCTGCAAGGACACCCGGGGGCCTGCCGGTGCCGGGCGCTGGCAGCTGGGGGCCCGCACAGTAGCCTGTCTGTCCTGCAGCGCCACCTCGTGGCCACTTTGGGGATTGCCACTGCCTGGCCCCAGCCCTGCACAGTGAGTGTCCAGGCCTCCAGGAAGGAGGCGGACGCTGCCTCTCCCAGGCCCCCATCCCTTGGGCCCAAGGCCCCAAAAGATGTGTCTCAACCCTTAACCCTCTGCAACCCGGCATCTCCATTTGACAGGGTCCCCCAAGAGTCGCTGGTAGGCCACGCCTCCCTGCAGGTTGCATGAAGCATTGATCTTCGTGTGTTAGGGGTTGAAGCGGGGCCCCCCAGGTTCCTATGGAAGTCCTAGCCCCTCGCACCTCAGAACCCCCAGGACCTCCTTTGGAGAGAAGGTCTTTACAGAGGTCACCAGGTCAAAATGAGGTCATATGGGTGGGCACTATGAGTGGTCCAACATGACTGTCCTTGTGAGAAGGGGGCATGTGGACAGACACGCACCCTGGAGACGGCCCTTGAAGACGGAGGCAGAGATGGGGTGACGCTCCCACAAGCCAGGGGACCCCAGAGAGCGCAGCACACCCCCAGCAGCCCCGGTGGCGCCTGGACAGCTCAGGAGGGCCGACCCCGCCCACACCGCGGTCTCGGACGGGTGGCCTGCAGGCTGAGACAGCGAGGTGTGCACGCTGCCTGGCCTGTGGCCATTGTCACGGCCGCCCAAGGACAACACAGACTGTGAAAAAGGGACGGAGCTCTGGGTGGGCGGTGGCAAAACACCCTGCTGCCGTGTCCGGGGAGCGCGCCCTCGCAGCCCGGCTCGGGGGCCCAAGAGCCAAGCGCGCAGCAAGGCGCCAAGGTGCCGGGGCAGCAGCCGGCCGGCGATTTCTGGGTGCGCTGGGCGGACTGCATCTTTAACATGACGGGCCAGGCTTTAAATTCAGTTCAAGTTAAAGTCAGAAAATCGGGAAGGAAGCAAGATTACTTTAGAGAAAATCCTGTGTCCTGTTGCAGGATCTGTTGTGTCTAGATGAGGTTTTTTTGTTTTGTTTCTATTTATTTTTAGGCAGAAGGAAGGGAGGGAGAAAGAGACGGAGAGAAACATCCAGGTGTGGTTGCCTCTCATGCGCCCCCTGCTGGGGACCTGGCCGGCAACCCAGGCCTGTGCCCTGACTGGGAATCGAACTGGTGACCCCTAGGTTTGCAGGCTGGCACTCAGTCCACTGAGCCGCACCAGCCGGGGCCCACGCCCTACGTCTTATCCTGAAGCCCTAGAATTACAAGGTCTGTTGAATTCTCAGCCTCCCAAGGCTGGAGTGCTTGAGTGTGAAAGAGTCAAAATGGAGAGCTGAGGGGACTGACCTTGCCTCCCGACCCCCCTGACCCCACCAGCCCTGCCTGCCAGCAGCCGGCTCCTGTGAGGGCCACACCCGAGGCCCTCCCCTGCTGAGAGGAGGCTGTTGAGGCCCCCACCCTGTGAGCCCTTGTGACCTCTGGGCCCCGCTGCAGCAACATCCCCGCTGACTCGGTCACACCCCAGGGACACGGGGTTTTGCCTGCTCAGACAGGAGCTTCGTGAGGGACACAGAGCTGCCGGGGGCGGCATGGAGGAGCAAACAGGGACACCGGTGCGCGTCCCACACCCTGGCCCAAAGGTTTGCTTTCGTCGGTGAGAAGCCTTGCACTTTGCTCCTTCGCTGCTGGAAACGCGGACGTATCGGGCCTGCTGGGCTGCCCGCCGGGCGTTCCTCGGGATGACGTAGGGAAAGACAGCAGGGCTCAGGGACTGACAGACGCGGCCCGAGCGCAGCAGGTGCAAGTCCCCACTGCGTCCGCTAGGCACAGCCCTGCCCGCCCAGGGCCCTGAGAAACCCCTGGCCTGCACGCCGGGTGCGACGGTAGAACGGCTGCCACCAGAATCGGGCCCAGGATTTGTCCTGGGGACGGGGAGGGACACGGCCCAGGGATCGGGTGGCCAAGGCTGGAGGGTGCCGGGGCTCTTGGGCCGTGGTTAGTTGATTGAGTGTCCCCAGAACCGAATAAGATGGAATGCCATGACCTGTCGCCCAGTGTCCAGCGAGCAGAGAGGGGGGAGCCCCGGTGGGGGACTCTAAGTGTCAGGTCCCGTGCCCCGCCTCCCCCAGGCACTGACGTCAGTGGCTGCCCTGGAACAGTCTGCTGCCAGCTGTCGGGCTCACCAGCCTGTGGCTGAGGCCGAGTCAGCACCCATGGCGCGTCTCTGGTCCCTGTGACGTGAGCTGGTCGCCCGGCTGATGGGGGACAGAGGTGGCGCAGGACCTCTCCGGGGCTGCCGGTCCTCAAACCTGGTGGCTGAGCTCTCAAGACATGAGCCATGTGGCCTTTCGTGCCCTGGCCTCGAAGTGATGCTGTGCATCCTGTTCACCGGCAAGGGTCGCGCCTGAGTCGATTGGAACTCGCAGTCCGTCTGCGCAGCTGACACGTCCTGGAAGCACACGTGGCGCCCCCTACTTGCAGCTTCGTGGTCCCGACCGCGGTTCACGGCGCCACTTCTCCGCGCGGTCCTCAGGGGGCGCTGTGTCGCGGGCCGGCCCCAGGGCCGTGGGCCGTTCGCGTTCTGCGGCGCATGGCCCCACGCGACCGCCGTAGGGGGCGGGGCTGCAGACGGAGTCCGCGGGGCGACGGTGCGACGGGACTCGGCCGGCCGGCGGGCGGGGGCCCCGGGGCCGTGAGGGGCGCGGTGGGCGCGGGCCGGGCGCCATGGGCAACCTGTTTGGCCGCAAGAAGCAGAGCCGCGTCACCGAGCAGGACAAGGCCATCCTGGTGAGACGTCCGTCTGCGGCGCGGCCCCGCGTCCGGTCCGATCGGGGCCGGGGGAAGTATCCCGCGGTTTTCTGGTCGCGCTTTGTCCGCGCACGATCCCGGGCTCGCGGGAGGGCTCCGCGACCGGGGCCCCGCGGGACCAGCCCGGGGACGCGGCCCGAGTCCGCACCCACGCGCGCTGCGGGTTCGGGCGCGAGGCCGTGGGGCGGAGAGCCGTCCGTGACGCCCTCTCTCTGCCCCGGGGCTGGGGGTTTAAAGAGAACGGAGCCAGCCCGCGACCGGCCGCGGTGCGAACGGGTTCAGGACGGGAGCACGTCCGCCCTGGCGGCCCTCGTTCGGTCTGTGGAAGCCAGTTCCGTCTGCCGCCGCCCAGACCGCCGTTTCCGGGACGAGGCCGGGCCGCCCGTTGCCATGGTGATGATGCTGCGGCCCCGACTCCCAGGGCGCCCCCGGGTACAAGTTAGTTTCTGGGGAAAGAACGGTGCGTTGCATTCCGTAAAACGCTGTGTCCACAATCACCTGTTTCTGTTACGAGAAAACTGTCAGGAAGGAGATGGTGCAAAGTGGGAGCAGAGTTTACCTCTACTTTTGCTTTCATTTCTAAATTTATTGGGACAAAATTCACGAAGAGATAAAGGAATCCAAGTAACAGTTTTTGCTTTGGTTTCTGAAACTGTAACTTGTAAGAGGTTGTTACCTGAAGTCCCCCAGCAGCAGGCGGCAGCCAGGGACGGTGGTTGTCGGCAGAGAAATCGGCACAGAGGCAGGCACCTGATGGCGCCTGATGGGAACAGGGCGCGGAGCGCTCCAGAGCCCAGGGGCCTGGGGCCTGAGGGACAGCACGACCCTGCCCGGCGCGGCCCGCAGGTGTGCCCGGCCTCCACCCTTCGCCCCCCACTCTCTGCTCCCGGGCTGCCCAGGCCTCGGGCAGAGCTGGGAGCCCCCAAGGCCATTCTCTCCTCTCAGGACCTGCCTTTGGGTTTCTCCTGACAGAGACCGTCCACTTTCCCAGCATCCATCCTGTTGGGGTCCCAACAGGGACAATGTGATCTGCACACAGTTTGCAAGTTATCGCCTGAGGTCCTCCTAGGCCTCGAGGCCCCGTGCCCGTCCCGTGACTGAGCCCCCCTGCCGAGGCCCCTTGGCTGCACTGCCGCCCGGGTGACAGGGGGTGGGGAGGAAAGGCAGCGGGCGGCTGGGAAGACTGGGCACGCGAGGCGCTGGCCGGCCACAGGCTGCGCACTGCACTGGGGCCGACGCCAGAGGGACCGGGTTGAGGGGCTGCAGAACCTCCCCCCCCAGGCAGGGCCGAGGACGTCCCCACCAGGGATCATCCCTCGCCGTGATGAGTCTTAAAGATGCGCGTCCCGGGACTGACACTCCGGCCGACCCACCTGCACGACCTAACCCCATGGGTGCCAGGAGCTCGCTGTCTGCAGGCGCTTTCCCGGCGTCACCTGCCGCAACGGCCTCGGGGACAAACACGAGTGCCCGGGGCAGGAAGGGGCTGGTTCACGTGCAGGGCTGACCCGGCATCCTCTGTGGGACAGCACGCAGGTCCACCGTGCTCGGCCAGGTCGTGCGACCCCCACCGGCACGGCTGCCTGGGGTCCATGCAGACATGTGACAGGTGGCAGGAGCAGGGACGCGAAGCACACAGCACAGAAGTGGCCGGAGCCCACAGAGGAGCGGAGCCGGAGGGCAGGCCACCGCTGGGGCAGGAGGGTGGCTGGACCTTCGAGGCCCTGCATCCCCCGCCCGGACCTGACCCCAGAGCACCCACCCTCGCAGACGGCACTCAGCGCCACGCGGTGGTGGCTGTCAGCGCGGCGCCGTGGACACTGCCGGCTGACTGGTGGGGGCCGCGCTGTGTGCCGCAGGGTGCTGAGCAGCACCGCCAGCCTCCCCTCTGGGTGCCTGGGCCACCTCCCAGCCCTGACAGCTGGGAATGTCTCTGGACGTGGCCCCGGGCGCCCCTGGGGCCAGAGGGCGGGGCCGCCAGGCGAGGGCCGGGCACAGTGTCAGCCTGGTGTTGACGCGAGACCTGCTCCTGGCAGCAACTGAAGCAGCAGCGGGACAAGCTGAAGCAGTACCAGAAGAGGGTCACACAGCAGCTGGAGAGGGAGCGGGAGGTCGCCCGGCAGCTTCTGCGGGACGGCAGGAAGGAGTGAGTGCGCCGGGCGGCCGGCCAGGTGGGGGGGCGGGGGTGGGCGGGGCGGGGCGGGCCCCGGGTCACCGCTGTCCTCTCCGCAGGCGGGCCAAGCTGCTGCTCAAGAAGAAGCGGTACCGGGAGCAGCTGCTGGACAAGACGGAGAACCAGATCACGAGCCTGGAGACCATGGTAGGCCGAGGGGAGCCCCTGCGGGGACTGAAGCAGGTCTTTCCTTCCTTGGGCCCCTCAGCCCGAGGCCCAGGAATGGGTCAGGCCTGGAGGTGGAGGAGGACCGGCACGGGGAAGCTGGTGGTCTTCAGAGGTGGGGGGCAGATGGGCCCCCGCAGGAAGGTGGTTGGGCTGGGCCACCTCTAGGGGGCTCGGGTGGGCCGGAGCTCTGTCCCCGGGGCTGGCGGTGTCAGAGTCTTCGGGAGGCTCCCAGGGCGTCCCTGGCGTTAAACACCGAACAGAGCTGCTCGGGAGCGGCCGGTGGGCCCTCTCGGGGGAGGTGCGGGCCGGAGACCAGGATGGAGGCACAGAGCGGTCTGCCCGCCGGGGGAGGAGCGTCGTCTGGTACTGCGTTGTCCTCCGTCCTGCTGTGGGACGGAGAGAGGCCGAGCGGCCCCTGACCTGGCAGGTCTGGGCCGGTCTCCCCTCAGGTCCAGAGTATCGAGTTCACCCAGATCGAAATGAAGGTGCTCGAGGGGCTGCAGTTTGGGAACGAGTGTCTGAACAAGATGCACCAGGTAGGTCCTCGCGGGGCCGGAGCAGAGAGCAGGGTCGGGGGAACGGGGGCTTGGCCCGTGCAGCGCCCCAAGGCCGCGCCTGCGCCTGGGCCGTCGGCCAGGAGTGTGTGCGCCGGACAGGAGGCGGGAAGCCCGCCGCTGCTGGGGAGGGCCACCGCCTTAGCAGGACAGGCAGACTCGCGTGTCAACCTGAAGACAATGACGGACAGACACTGTCAAGACAATGACGGACAGACCAGGGAAGTCTGGTTCGGGGTGGGGGGTGGGGCATGGTGAGCTAATCTGGAGGGCTTCCTGGAGGAGGGGAACACAGCCTAATCTCAGAAGCACGTGGAGGTGGCTGGTGAAAGGAGAGTGAGGCCCAAGAGGCTGTGCCGGAGCCCGGCCCCTCCGCCCTGGGCAGGGGTGGGGGCGGGGGCTGGCGCTGGGCCCCTGGCCACGGCTTTGCTGAGTGGCTAGCGCAGCGTGTACCTGCCAGTCCAGCAAAGGGCTGCTTTGGACTTGCCCAAAAGAAACCGAGTCATCTGCCCAGGGGAGATGGTTTCCACTTTTCACTTGTTTTTGCCTGAAACTGCTCGAGTAGGTTTGGGTTCCAAAAGCCCAGTGGGAAGGGCCAGCCAAGGCTTCTGGAAAGGCTGGTCCGACAGCCTCGGGCCTCCACGCTGGGCTCTCGCGAGGCCCTGCCGACGAGGCTCAGGGACGCCCCCGCCCGTTTAGGTGATGTCCATAGAAGAGGTGGAGCGGATACTGGACGAGACCCAGGAGGCCGTGGAGTACCAGCGGGTAGGCCTCGCCCTGCCCCTGGGGCCCCCTTTCACCGCAAGCGGCGCCGGCGCCATCTGGGTGGATGCCCGTGGGCTGCCCTTGGGGGGCACACCAGTCCCCGCTTTGTGGTGGCCCCGCCTTCTCGCCTGAAGGGCCCTGAGTCAAGGGGCGCCTCCCTCCTCCACGAGGGGCTCCCTGCCCCCCACCCAGCCACACTCTTCACTTCGGTTCCTCCTTTTGCAGCAAATAGATGAGCTGTTGGCAGGAAGCTTCACTCAAGAGGACGAGGATGCCATCCTGGAGGAGCTGAACGCCATCACTCAGGTGGGGCACCCGGACTGAGCCTGGCCGCTCGGGGCGGGGCCTGTCCAGGCGCCTCTGCATGTCGCAGCGACTGGCTTGCACGGAGCGGGGCGCTGGCTCCCCTGGCCCCCGGCCCTGCCCTGCCCAGCGGACAGGGTCGTGGCTTCTGCTCGGGGCGGGGGAGGGTTTCTTCCCCAACGCGGCCGGCCACTCTGCCCCGCGCAGAGTTGGAGCGCGCCGGCCCCGCTGGCCTCTGGCAGGCTGGGCTGCCGGGCCCAGGCCTTGAGGCCTGTGTTCGCTCCGTGGCGGGGGGCCTCCGCCCCTGCGCGGGGCCTGTGTGCACCCGCCTGCCGGCTTCCTTCCTGGCCCCCGGGAGACCGCCCAGCACTCGCTGGGACAGCCAGTCCCCCTACAGCAGATCGGGGCGCCCTCGGTCCTGGCACGGCCCAGGCCCCGAACTGGGACGTCAGGAAGCCCCTCGGGGACTTGATGTTGGGGGGAGCCCCCTTTCCTTGTCTCAGCACTGCTGGAGGCTACAGAGGGCACACGTGGGGCTCTCGTGCGCCCCAAGTCAGGCTGCGGGCAGCCGAGCAGACGGGACCCTGCCCTCTGAGGGGACCAGGGCGGACCTCTGGGCCGCGTCTCACGGCCCTCCCCTCTGTCTCTTGCAGGAACAAATTGAGCTCCCAGATGTCCCTTCAGAGCCCCTTCCCGAAAAGAACCCAGGTACTCCCCGTTCCGTCTTCCGGGAAACACCGCGTTCCAGAACAGAGCAAGCGCCCTGGCCGCAGGGCCCTGCCTGCGCCCTGGCTCGGTGGGGGAGTGGCTGGCCCCTGTTCGGGAGGCGTGGCCCGAAGGCAGGAGCCCGGGAGAGGCCGGCTCGGCCCTGCAGGCTCTCCTGGGCCAGCGTCCTCGCGGGCCCCAGGGGCCTCGTCTAACAGACCTTCTGAGCCCCCACCAGGCGCTGGTGCGTCGGCTGAGGCCCTCGCCCCTTTCCGCCCCGTGGAGCTCCCGCCTCCTCTCCGGGCTGTGGGGCGGGCGGGCCCCGCCCGCTGTCCCCTGCGGCGTGCCGGCCGCGCCGGCCTCCGGCCTCCGTCTGGCTCGCTGTCCCCGGGAGAGCTGCACAGGCTCCCCCAGAGCTCGAAGCCCTGGGACCTGGCTCCCTGCCGCCTCCAGCCCTCCTGTGGGAGTTTCTGCCTGGAACGTGTTCTCTACTCAACAAACGTCTCTTTGTTTCCTCCGCAGAGAAAGTTCCCGTCAAGGCCAGGCCCCAGCAGGCGGAGCTGGTGGCAGCCTCCTAACTCGGCCTCCCCGCCGAGGACTGGCAGGGGCCCCCCAGGGACTGGGGCCGCGGCGTCCGAGTGCGTGACCAGCTCTGACCAGGCCGCCGGTGCCGACAGTGCGGCGTTCACAGGGCTGCCAGCCACGCCGACCAGGGGGCTGTCCCCCAGACGGGACCAGATGGCCCGTTCAGACCCTCCAGCCCAACACAGCTTCTGAGGCCGTGGCTCCCGCGGGGACAGGGCCAGCCCCTCGCGCCTGGTGCTGGCCACACGTCCTGGCCCTGGCCCCGCGAGGCGCCGCGGGCCGCTCTCTCCTGTCGGAAGCGCATCGGACTCAGCCCCGCCCGGCCCTCCCGCCCTGCTGCTCCCGCTCGTTGGCAGGTGCTTCGGCCACGGGGCATCTGCCTTGGCCAGGCGTCCCAACACCCCCGCTGCCGTATGGATCCGGGGGCGGAAGCCGCTCCATGCCTCTGTCTGCGTTTGGAGGACCGAGCCCAGGAGGGGCGTGTCCCTGATGGACGGAAGACTCCAGGAGCCCCGCCCACCCCTCGTCACTGGCGGGTCCTGCTGGGGCTCCGGGGGGGTGCCAGCAGGACAGGACCGTGTGTGCATGGGACTCCTGTAGCCGGAGCTTGGAACCTGCAGGGACCCTGGACCTGCCGACCTGCCAGCTCTAAGCTGTCGGCCGCCAAGCACCGGCTGGGGGGTGGAGTCGCATTCCTGGGGCTCTGGACCTGGTGCCCTGGGCTGTCACTCCCAACAGGAACAGGAGGAGACCTGCCCCGCCCCCCAGACAGGTCACCCCCATTAAAGTTGGTCCTGCACATCTGCTGCCTCATGGACTCGGGTCTGGGAGGCCAGGGTCGGGGGGTGCCCCCCAGGTGTCTGTGGGCCCTCACGGGGGCCAACCTGAGGACAGCGCGCAGCGGGCCTGGGGCGCGGGAGCGGGGGGGTCTTGCTCTGCTGGCGGTGGGCCCCAGCGGTCCCCTCTGGGCAGCGGCCCTGGGCCGGGCGCAGGGCTGTGCCCCGGCCCCTCCTCCCGCAGAAGGGACTCTGGCGGCCGCCTTGTTCACGGGGTCTTGGGTGGCTCCTGCAGCCTGGGCTGGTGTGGAGTCCTGATGCCCCGGTGAGCGAGTGGGCAGCGGTGAGGAGGGAGGGCGCGTCCCACCAGAGAGGCTCCTGCGGGTGCGCCGGGACTGGGGGGCTCTTGGACAGAAGCGGGGCGCCTGGGCTTTCGGGGACTGGTTATCTGCTGTGTATGGAAGGACCCTCGGCGGGTGCAATGCACGCCTCCGCCAGCAGGGGGCTCTGCCGGCCGGTCTCAGGACTTTGTGTGGGGACCGCCATCCATGGGCCAGACTGGCTGCGGGGCCCCTCCTGCTCCTGTTTCTGGTCACATGCTGCCATCTGTCCCCAGGACTCCCGAGGGCAGTTCTCGCCTGGGGAGGAGCCAGCCCGGTGACCCTCTCCATCTGCAGCCCGGCCTCCGGGCCGAGGAGGGTGTGGAGGGGACAGGGGGCTGCTTTGGTGGAGGCACAGGCCTGGAGCGGCCACCCCGGAGCCCACCAGCAGGGTGGACCCTGTCCTTTCCCTCGGCGTCCCCAGGCTCCCGGGGCCCGGGGCTGACCCCGGAGCCCACCCTCCAGACCTGGGCAAAGGGCGCCCGCGGGCCCCAGGGGCCCGGGGAGGCCGGCCCCTCACCGGCCTGGTTGGAGCTCGCGTCCCATCGCCTGGCCTAGGGAGGCTCTGCCCCGACCGCCAGGGGGCCTCCCGCTGACCCCAGGCCCCGGCCTTGGACCCCGCCTGGCTCGCCAGCCCTGTGTGCGCGCGCGCGCGTGGTTCAGCCCCTCCTGCCCGGTCGAGGCTGGTGACTCCTGAGCCCAGCCCCTATTGACCCTGACCCCACTTCCTGCTGCCCCCAGGGCCGGGGACTCCCATCCTCCACAGGTCAGAATCCCTGCAGCCCTGGCGGCGGGGGCTGGTGTCCTGGGGACCCGGGCGCTGGAGGGCACTCGGAGGAGGAGGGGGCCTGAGAGCAGCACCCGTGCCCCAGGGCGGGAGGGGCTTCAGGGGACCCATGGGGGCCAGTGGGCCGCAGGCACAGACCCAGGACCCAAGAAGGACGGGTGGGGGCAGTGGGGAGTTGGGGAGGGTGCACCCGGGCAGGGTGGAGGGCGCCTAGCAGGGGGCAGAGGTGGCACGGGCTGGGGGTTGCGTCCAGGGCCTGCCTGCGTGGGCCTGGGGGGGCGGGGAGCAGGTGCCCGGCGTGTGTGGGCAGTGGTGGAGGCCTGGGGACAGTGCCCCCAAGCCCTGTCCGCACCACCCCTCACCACCCTGCGGGGTCTCCTGTGGACCCCGCCCCCCTGCGGAGAGACCTGGGCATGCCAGGCAGACCTGTGGGGGCGCCGCCCGGACAGCGCCGGGGCTCCCGGTGGTGCGGGCTCCCCCGCCTGGAGCTGGGCTGCGTGGGGTGACGGCAGCAGGTCAGGGGTGTGTCCTGGGGAGAGCTGACCCCGCAGCCATGCCTGGCCGGGGGCCTCCCGGCGGGCGCCTGCACCCTCGGCCCGGGAGCTCGGTGAGGGCGTGGGATCACCCCAGACCTCCCTTCCGAGGGGTGTGTCTTCTCCCCACCACCCCCGTCTTTCCTCAACGTCCCCATAGACAACCCGGCCCGTCCTGGTCCCCTCACGTGGGCGAGGCCTCACACAGGACCTCGGGGTCTTGTCCCCGCGGATCTGAGAGCACGTCCTCCCGGCCTGCGCCGGAGGGGAGCGCGAGCCCGCCCGGGGCAGCGGGTCGGGGCGTGAGCCACACTGCCCTCCTGCCTGGCGTCGGGGAGGCTCGCTGAGGAAGCCGAGGCTCTGCATGGAGCGCGGGGAGAGCAGAGCTCGGGGCGCGGCCGCAGGGCGTCCGGGGGCACAATGGCTCCCCTTTCCTATCACGACCCTGACACAGCCCCGGCCATGCAGCCCACCCACTGGGCGCACACGGCTCGGCGCCCGTCTGTGAGCCACGGGCCGCGCCACCCTGTGCGCAGCCCACGGGAAGCCATGCTCCCCCGCCCGCCGCCCAGTGTCCTGCTCGGGGTCTGCCTCCGCTGCACACGGACGCGGACTCGCACAGCGGGTGGCTGCACCCGGCCACTCGCTCCCGCGCTGTGCCCGCGGTCCGTCCAAATCGTAGCGAGTGTCCGCGCCCCGCCGGGCTCCGTGACTGAGCTCAATCCACGGCACCAGAGGCCACGTTTTACCTGCCCGCTGCCCCTGGGGACACTGGTGTTGCCCCCCAGTCTTGCCGGTCAGGGACAGTGCTTCTGCAGACATCCCGTGCGGATCTCTGTGGGACGGGTCTTCCTTTCTCCTGGGCATAAACCTGGGAGTGACTCGCTGGTCACATGGAGACAGATGTCTGGTCGTTGGAAGGGTGGCCAGACGTTCAGGCAGCTGCACTGTGAGACCTTCCCACCAGCCGCCTGCGAGGCTCCGCACGCTCCTCGTCCCAGCCAACACGAGCTGCTCCCAGGCTTGGTTCTGGCCGTCCCCGTGGCCTGGTGCATTTCCCGAGTGACCGGTGAAGTTGAACAACTTTTCATGTGCTTATCGGCCATTCACATGTCTTTCAAGAGATGTTCGGCTTCTTTGCCCATTTCTGAATTGGGTTAGTTGTCATTTCATTACTGAGTTTTAGGAGCGCTTCACATATTCTGGATACTAGATCAGGTATAGGATTTGCAAAATGTGTTTTCCCAGGCTGTGGTCTTTTTGCCTTTTTGACAGTGTCCTCCGAAGAGCAAGCATTTTTAATTTTGAAGAAGTCCACTTTCTTTCTTTCATTGCTTGTGCTTTGGGTGTCATTTCTAAGAAATCATTGCCTAATCTGAGGTCATAAAGATTTATTTCTTTTTTCTCCTTGAAGAGTTTTATAGCTTGAGGTCTTACATCGGGTCTCTGGCCCACTTCCCGTTAGTCTGTGGACCCGCTGACCACGGGGACCGGCATCGTGCTTCTGCGTGGGATGTCCGGCTGCCCCAGCGCCGTTTGCGGGAACGGTGCCCTCGGCGCCTTGCTGAAAACCAGGTGGCGGTCTGCGTGAGAGCTGACTCCGGTCTCACCTCTGTCCGGTTTACCTGAATGTCTGTCCTTCTGTGCTGACTGCAGCTGCGTGGGACGCTTTGCGACCGGGACGCGCGGGTCTTGGCGGGTCTTTGCAGGTTGTGTTGGCCGCTCTGAGTTTCCCCGTGAGCCCTAGGATGAGCTTGTTAATTTCTGAAAAGAGGCCAGATGACACCCTGAGAGGTGAGCGGGGTCCACGGATCAACGTGGGGCTCGGGCCGCGTGGCCCTGGTGTGTCTCTCAGCCCGGGTGAGTGCTTGTTCTGGGCGTCTTCACTGTCTTTCCACAAAGTTCTGTAGTTTTCAGACCCTATGTTCTGTACTTCTTTGTCTAAGTTTGTCACTGAGGATTTTATTCTTTTTGATGCTATTTCGATGGAATTTTTTTCTTAATTTCGAGTCTACATTGCAAGTATAATGTATACCCCCATTTACCCAGGGGCCTCTGGCTGCCGCAGGCTGCGGGTTGGAGATGCAAGCGCACAGACGCCCTGCGGCCTTGCACGTTAATTCTGCATCCCGCCGCCTTGCCGAGCTTGCGTGTGCTGGTTTTCAGCGCATACAGGGCCGTGCCCTGTGCAAACGGAGAACCTGATGCTCCGGGTCCCTGTCGTGCCTCCTTGTCCCGGCCAGAACGCCCAGGACAATGTCCAATCGCAGCAGCTACCTTCCCTTCGGTGCTTCTGTTCCACTCTCAGCCCCAAAATAATACAAACAGGAAGGACAAAGTCCACACAGCATTTCAGGCAAAATCCCACCCCTTCCGCCTGCTTCCCCTCGCCCTCCCGTTTCTCGGCTCCAGTCTCTGGGCCGAGCAGGGCCGGAGGGCTGACCAGGTGCCACCTGGCCTGCCCACACTGGCCCGTCTCAGGACGTGCCTGTGGACTCCCTCCCGAAACGCACAACGACAGCAGCAGGACAGCGGGGCTTGCAGAGCCGCGGACGGCGCAGAGCTCGTGGGGCTCGGGTTGAAGGCAGCTACGCAGAATAGACCTCAGAACCGCCCCGAAAGCGATGGCGGCGCGGTCAGAACAACGGACGACATGCTAACAGCACGCGGGTTCAAAGAGCGCCTCCGGGCAGCACTGTGTTCTAAGAGGCCTGGGCCTCGGGTGGCCAAGGCCCAGGCGTGGGAAGTCTTCCTAACGGGAGGCAGCGCTGTCCCTGAGTCAGCAGGACAAGCTGAAATTATGTCAGAATCCGCTGCTTTAGAAATCACAAAGTCCAGGGGAGGGGCCGAGACCCGTGGGACCGTCCTGCGTGCTGACCTGCTCCTGCAACGGACACCCCAAACCGTGGGAAGGGAGCGGGGGCTTGCGCGTCTTGGGGTGCCTGGCCTCGCTGCCGGGCACGCCCCCGGGGGCGGCCACGGGCGCGGCGGCCGTCTGGGCGCTGTGGGCCCCGGCACGCTGGAGCGCCATCGCAGCAGCGTTCTGAAGGGCAGCGCTGCCTTAGTGCCACCCTCCCGGCGCCCTTGCCTGCTCCGCCTCTTTCTTAGGAAGCATTTTTTTTTTCAGAAATAATGTAGAAACCTACCCATCCGGTTTCTCTATGTGAGCTCCAGATCAATGGCAGTGAGCCCAAGTTCCACTGTGATTTAAAGAAGCCATGAGCACACCCACCCGAACAGGGGACGTGCCCTTATTTTGAAGGCTGTGTCTGGCGGGACTCCCCGCTCCCCCGCAGAGAGGCTCCGGGGAATCCCGGG